GGTATTCTGTTGAACCTATTCAACTCGAAATTTCCCCGTTGGCTTGACAAATACCTTCGTCCTATTACGGTTGATGAGTTAAATATATTACATATTACACTTTAGTTTCAGATACCACCTGTCCAAAACTAACCACAACTACAATAAGCAAGAATTTGCTTAATAGTGCAGAAATAGACTGTGTAAATTTCTTTTGACTTAACTTTATAACTTTGGATAATAACCAATTATTATAAAAATATAAACGGTTTTTAACCGTTGCCATGAGTCACTGTCCAATATTTTCATATAGAAACAATGTACATGTCAAATTACAAATTTACAAAAATATAGAATTACTTACTTATATCGTTTCCTTTAAAAACCCGTTTTTGTGCACCAAAGAAGAGCTCCATATTTTATTTTCTCTAGTAAAAACACTAATATATCCACAGAGAGTTTAATTTACCTAAAATGAAACATCTAACCAAAAATAATTTTCGTCAGATTGTTGGTTCAAATCAGTTTAACAATATTTGATTAGCATCGAGAAGTGTTATGGTGCAGACTTGTACCTATAAATAGGCAAACGTCTCCACACGTGGCAGTGACATTCAGAATTTCAAAAATGCAGTTTTAAATACCTCAGATTATTTCTGGGTAGTAAAATCCCATTTAGACTTTAAAGAATCACTCGCGGTTTAACGATTTCGTAAAACTGACGTCGGCAGAATTCGTAATTTTAGTTTTAGCAACCGGCTGGACGGCCGGCAATTAAAACTTCTTCAACGGTCGGTGCGCGACCGCTATGGTATCTATCGCATTTAAAGCGAAATCTACTTTGTTTTGATCCTTCGACAATGGTTCTCTGACGAAACCCAATGTTTGTCTCCTAACTACAATTCGGTTTATACTGGTTGTGCAAATTTAGATTTTTCGACTTATCCATTATTGCTAGAGCTGACAGGTTACGAATTTTGCCTTCGTATCTTTCTTTGTCAACACAACGAAACTAAAACAAAACACTCAGGTCAGCGATATAAAAAAATGGACATACCACAATGTTAATGACTGGTGTCATTTAAAACTTATCATAAAAATACCATATCAATTGTTTAACGGCAGCCATAGAAATCGAAATAAATAAAAAAAATGCTGCCATACTTCAGACTCATTCTATTAATTCATCCATTTAATTCCAGAAAAATTAAGAACAAACAGATCCAGTGGATTCTGGATAGTCATTATGACACTCGTCTAGCCTTCTGCTTTCTATTCTCGTTAGGTCAATATGATAAATGCATGAAAATCACCGGAAAAAAATGGTTTCATTTGCAAATATCTATAATGCACAAAATTATGCATATCACTAAGAGTAGGTATTACGTCTCTCAGGCCAAACAGATCGGTACATTTGAACTACTCCGTATGTCTGACATATGGAAGTATAGGAAAGTTATGTGGAGGTATAGAATAGGACAGAGGCCTAATGGGATATATATGGAAGTATATGTCGGTTATGAGGAGTAGTTCAAATGTATCACTAAGTTTGTGCACTAACCGGCTAAAATATAATTCTGAATATTGACAGTTCTCATTAGATTGTTTGAAAGTTTTAAATACGAGTTGTGTGAATTTATCTAATATTTTTATTATTCTTTTCCTTTTTGAGAAGTTTCTATAAAATGGAATTGAATTATTCCTTATAGATATGTATTTTACATTTATGGTATCTGTTTATTTTTGCCATAAAATGCAAGTAAGCTATTAAGAGTTGGCGTCATACAACACACATAATTGTTGAAATCTGGACATCCGGGACATAATTTCATTATGTTGTATTTTAAATTATACAAAATTATACCAAAGCGTTGTGGTTAGTATTTTCATTCAATCTGTGGTCAAAAAGACCAAAACATCTTTACACGCGACTGTAGAGTAACCATATACATTACGCAAATTGTTGTAATTAAGTAAGTTTCTGAGAAAATCACTTAAGACACACCTCCTTTAATTGATGTGTTTAACGATAATTTGCAAAACTGAAAAATCGGCAGCATGTATTTTGAAAATACTTGGCACTATTAAGGACCAACCTTGCGACTAACACTTAACTGTACGAATGTTTAACTAAAGGGAAAATTTTCTTAATTTGTTCGGTGATTTTTCAATTTTGCTTCCTGTTTCCATTTCCATTTTTCCATTCGATTCCATTTTTGTTTATCAATTTTGCAGTTTTTCACATACTTTGTCCAATATTTTCAAACAATCTGACATTAACTGACTGACTCATCTTTTCGATTCGAATAAGAGGCTCTTTGCATTTAGTAGCTACCTCAGAGTTGATCCGGTGTCACTGTCGAAACTACTACCCAGAAGTATTGTGAAGTAGAGTGAAAGTTAAATTTTTAATTCATTTGAAGAAACCAGTTACATTTTCTACTATTTCTTACTATTTTCTCAAAGAATTATTTAGATTGCTTTGAAATACCAATAACCGTTATTTGGGTTTGAAGTTTATATATTTTCGAGAATTTAGATGACAGAAGCCCTCGAAAACCAAACGCACATAAGTCATGGACCCTCTTGTTGAGAGGAAAACCAAGTTCTAAGGGTTTTTAACCAGGAGTCTTCCGGGTCCTCTTCTGCGCAAGATCTTTCCGTGAAGTATTAACTGAAGCAGATCAAATCTATTTTGGTTGTTCATTATATGTCCCAGATATTCTAATTTGAGTTTCTTAATGATATCCACTGTTTCGGCGTCTTTCTGAAGCATATCTAGTACTGTCTTGTTGGAAACGTGAGCAATCCAGGAAATTCTGAGAATTCGTCTGTAGAACCACATCTCAAAGGCGTCAAATTCAAGATGGCTCTTGTTTTCTTTATACGGTATTTTATTTCTACAGAGTCGTCCCAGTGCTCATAGTAGTGTGCAAACATGTGTAATTGGCAACTTTTTCGATTGGTTGATTATTGAATACCAATTGGTCGGGTTTTATGTTATGATTGCTAATTACTTACGTTGTTTTAGGGTTCTCAATACCATTTCACCCACCCACGCTCACACAGAATTCTAAAATTGAACCATTAACTTATTTAGATTTTCAGTTTCAATGGACCGGCAAATACATTCAAAGAACGACGGGTTCAAAGTATTTTCGTTCATAAATTTCAAATAGCCGTTACCTTTTGTAACTTTGACAACAAAAGAGATCCTTGAACGCCCCGATATTCGGAGATCTAAATTTAGCCACCGCGAATTTTCGAATGATAAATGACAACACGTCGAACTGATAGATATACGCAACACGGGTCTAAACATGCCACGATAAAAAAATTACGAAAATACGAAACCAAATAGCTGAAGTAATAAAAGTTGTTTTAATTTGTTTGAAGTGAAACCAAAACTCTACGCGACTGAAAGGGCATGATGTTTGAAGCGCGTAGCTTTGGTTCACACCTATTCATTTACCTTCTCCCCTTCACGCTAACATTTTTCTTATAGAAAGGTGTTGGTGAACGGTTATTACAATCAAGAGTGGGTCTTTTTTGTCAAAATTTGATTTGTAATGTGGGATATATTGCTGCCATTAATACATTATTATTGCAAAGCGGTATAGATGTGGATATATATGGATATAGTAGATACCGCATTAAAATCCTACTAGGAGGGTAATATTGGCTCAGAATTACTTTTTAATAAATAGAAAATCTTACAGTAGATACTTGGTGATCGTGCCTTATCTGTTTTAGCTAGCACTGATATTATTGCTATATCACGGCAAAACCGTACCACGCGGCGTCGAATATTTTTATCACAAACGAATTTGAGGCCGATACCATGATAGGTTTTAATTTCATTCTTGGGAATATTTATTTTTAATGACGTTGCTGACCTTGGCATATTCCCTATCATGGGTACTCAGTATTTTTGATAACGTTTCGATAAAGTTGCTCGTATTGTAAAAACGCAGTTTCAGCTATATTTAATTATTTTCAACTAATTTTTCAAAGAAACTTCCACAGGCTACTGTAATGCTTTTTACAAATATTCTGGATTCCTCCTGCGTCGGTTTTTGCTTTTCGAGCAATTTCGACTAAGCAAAAACCGACGCAGGAGGAATCCAGAAGTTTTGTAAAAAGTATTTTCAACTAGTTTCGCTCAAATTGTTTTTCTGCAACCCTTATCAAATAAGTTTTCAAAAATTTTTTCAATAGTTGATTTCATTTCACCAAGATGCCCAATGATTTAGGAAATATAAAATTCTGGCTTGAATATTAATGTCTAATGGTGGATTAAATACACAGATAACAGAGGATCTTACTTATGTTACTTCCATTTTACTAGTCTACTAATAAAATGACGGACAAAATTATTTGCTAGAAAAATTCTTGAATAAACTCTTTTCACGACAATAAAGCATATTCATTGCATACACAATAATTTCTTCTGTTTTATTTGACCCCATAATGTTTTGCAAATATTTCAGTCTTAGATGTAAGAAAAATCTTGACATTCTTGTAATTTACTTGTAATGAATCTCCCACCTTTTGGGATGAGGAAATTTATATCTATTATTGCAATTTCTATTTGATTTTCTCAGTAACATTGCAAACCTTACTGGCTCAAAAATAAATCTAAAGAACATTGTATTAAAATGTATCATCTACAATTTCAAGCAACGGTGCGTGAACACTGGGAAGACTTCGGCGTAATTTGCTTCTCGATTGATGGTTTGCTACGCTAATAACGTTTAAACTAATTACCTTCATAAATGAGCGGTTCAAACGATACGATCGATCTCCCGTAATACAGGTTAGAATTTCTCTTTCGTTTCTAAAGGAAAATGCTGATCGATATTAAAATCTATTAAACCATTAGTCGACGGTCGATTAAGCTAATTTCGTTCACGATTCTATTAAATTTCCAATAGCAGACTTATAACTTTATGAGCGATATTAAATCGATTAGAAGAGCGCAAAATTATAATTTAAATAATTTTTCTAATTTATCGTTTCAGAATCCAACCTCGCATCACCAAAAAGAAGTGCTGTCGTCCAATTCTGGGCACTTGGTTAAAGTTACTGCTAGAAAAATTCCAGCACTCAACACTTATCAGGTAAGAAAATTGAACAGGACGTCTTAATCTGTATTAGCCAAAGAGGTGTTTCTTCTATTTGGAGATGTTCTTCTTCTCCTTTACTTCTATTGGCTACACTGCTAAGATCATTCGGCCACTTACAACTATAGGTCAAAATTTTCTTTATTAAATAAAGGATGCCTTAATTAAAATGGACTGAATGAATCGATCACCCTCCAAGGGGAACAAATTAATGGAAAATTCTTCTCTCTTCGAAACATTTAACCGAACACTAAATCCACACAATGGAACCAATTTCAAGTTTTTTGGAGACGATTACCAAGGATTCTGTCGGGAGCGAGCGGAGGTTAACACGCCATTTGCAATGCTCACGACAGATTTGGAGTTAATAATAATTTAACTTTTTTTCTCCGTTGTTTCGTAAAACGAATCCCTATTTCCGTCATATCAATTGTTCGGTCACATTAAATAACGTTTTTTCTTCTTCACGCCATGGCAATGTTTGAATTTATCTATGATGCAACCTTTCAAGATAGAGGAGTATTGAGCAGAAGTAACATTTAGTCATTTGACATTTTAATTGGATAACTCGTTCAGTCGCTGAGATATTGTTCAGATCCAATATTTTGTTACTGAGGATTGTCGGGGTTTTGGGTTTTATTAATATCGATTTTGAAGCCGTGGTCATACCTGAGTGTGTTGATTTCCTTCCGTAAAGTTTGGAGTCCCGGCATACGTTAATTTTTCAAAGAAACTTCCCCAAGTTGTTGGAATTTGTAGATACATTTCATCTCGATTTCTCTTGCGTTTGATATTCACTTTGTCTTCGCAGACATAATGCTGGCTGGCTTCCTCAGTGCGCTGTCTGAAACTCGTCGATGTTGGATACCATTTATTTTGATTCTCTGATTCTTCGTACATTTTATGACATAATCATGAAATTGAATTTTTCTCAACCTAGTTAAATCCGTCGATATGACAACCTACTTATTTTTTAAATTTCATGGTACACTCTTTGCATTTTTCGAAAGCTGTTTTTTCGAATAGTACCTATTCTATGTCCTTTTTTACTGAGTTTTTAATATTGCATATAACTGCTAGGTAAATGTTATAAATACTTATATGACAATACTTGTTTTTTTAGACCGGAATACTTTGTACATTTTGAATGGAATGCAAATCTTTCACAGATCGTAAATTGAATTAAATAAATCATTAATTTTTTGACAGCAGAACAATCTTATGACGCATTAAATGTTTTTTTTTATTTACAGCTTGTTAAAAGACACAAGTATGTTAACAATTCTGTTATTTCGTATTTTAGGCAAATATTGTATAGAAACTTTTATGTTCTATGAACGATTTGCAAACATTAGAATTAAAAATGTATAGTGTTCCATAGTGTATAGGAAACATGCCTAATATTAGTCGGCATAAAAAATACAACTAATTTGTTAAATTAAGCAATCTCTAATCTATAATAATGAAATAAATAGTAATAGTGTACACTTAATTTTCTACACTGTGTATATAATATACATATCAGCATTCTTCAATACTTGCTCTATTTTGAGAGGACGAATTATGAGTTGCAATAATACTAATAACATATTTTCAAAATATCGCAACTTTAGTGGCTCACTTTATATTGAAGATTTTTCCACATGAGACTACAACTGAATTTCCTTCAACTGCTCATGGTGTTATACATGTCATCGATTTTTTCTACACCGGAACCATTGTTCTTCACCATTGTTTAAGTACAATAAGAAATGGTCTACAATTTTACCAGAAAAAAACTGACTGATAATTACCCAAACTTCAATGAACCGCAAGTTCCTGTTTCATTCATTCATTCTTGGCTGCGATATTGACTCCGGTCGTTTCGTATTTAAAGTAATTTTGTACAGACGTAGTTGTTGATTCAAGTATTCAATGTATTGCCTTGCAAACAAAAGTGACTTTGTACCGACCCTAGAAAATGATCTCGAGTAAAAGCTTCGTTGACTATTTATATCTGATCTAGAATTGTCTATTTAAATATGTAGAGGCGCATTTTTTGATTATTGGACTTCTTAATTAGACTTTAATGGGAAGTGGATTTGGGCATATTCCCCAGACCGCAAAAAATTGAAAATAATAATTACTCAGAATGAATTAAAATCACAACATAGAAATTCTTAATATATGATTATATCTACATGTATTTATAAATACAAACTGCAGAATTGTTTTTTTCACTTTTTTATTACTGAAGATCAGAATTTTCTCAAAGCTTATTCAATAAAGCTGGTGCGCTTTTACTTCCCAATGGAAAATTTTAGGATGTAATTCAACTAGATACTCCAGCGATACCAGTTGGAGTGAAACATTCAATAATAACACACCTTGAAATGGCGTCAAAAAGTGAGTGGAGAATTTGGATTAACCATGTAAAAAAGTTAGTCCATGTCAGAAAATAATCCTTTATAAAGTATTTAATTTTATTAGTTTGGCATTTATCTAAAATTAGTAAAAATGATCCTAAAAAACAAGTTCTGCGCATGAAACTTGCTGAAATAAGCAAAGCGACTGTTATTTAATCGAAGTGAGCCATTGAATAATATCGTGGAAAGTCTCACCTTTGTCGAGTCAACCTTCTCACGCTGGGCTGCGATATTGACCTTGTCCGTTTACTAGACATTTAAGTCAAGAAACTGCCGATTAGCTACAAACCGACCAAACGAGTATAAATAATACGACCATTTCCGATTTCTTGTTCCATTCAAATCGCATTTAAAGAGACGCTGTCGATACCGGAATTCTGCCACTTGCCGCTTCTCGCGTGTCGGTTTTGTTTATTTATTTGCCTCTTTATCTGCCTTATCGAGTCGTACGTAGAAAGAATCAGTTTGTTTGACGTAGTTAAATATTTCTTTGTTTGTAATTTTATATCTTTGCGTATCGATAATTAAAGACAAAAGTAGATTATTTATTTTATAATGAATTTTGCCATATGTTCAAGTTCTAAGGGTCAAAGCTCTAACTTTAGAAAAAGTTAGCTACAAAAAGTAGGACAGTATCGCAAAAAGATGAGATACCCAACAATGTCGAAAAATGGACAGTTAACAGTAAATATTTTTTTTAATTTTTATTAAAATTCCGATATATTGATCGGTTTAAATAAATTTTCAATTTTTTTCAATTCAAAGTTTTAGGTTATAACAAACTTAAAAGTCCCCTAAAAGGTTTTTAATTTGCTTTGTTTCTAGATTTTACTAGGGCCTGTGAATACGTTTTGTATTACGAAATTGGATCCGATCTAACCGATCTGACGCAATTTAATCCGGGTAATAAATGATATATTAAACACGGCTATGATCCAGGTTATAATTGAATCAAACCTTTTTTGTCCTATCTTTGTTAGATGAAAATTGACTCGAAACGGTTTGGGTCCCATCAGTTGAACTAATTTGTAATTTGTCATCATTGTCCTTCGAATTTTATTAGATGGTTACCATGACTAATTGTGGTATATACAGCAATAACAATTCGTGCAGTCAAAAGAACAATATTTTAAATTATTACTTTGGTTATATTGGTCAAAGAAACTTCTTAACAATTTTCGTAACGTTTTTTTACTGGAGACAATCGCCCATTGGCGACTTCCGTGGAGGATTTATTCCATTCCAGTCAGGGACCGAGACCTATGCTGTGACTTGATATTTCCAACAAATAAACTCTTGAACTTGAACTTGCATCGGCGTGAATAACGAAAAGAAGTACTAGGATCTCTATTGACTATTACAACGGAAAATAAACCGATAACAAGTACTTTTAACCTCATGCAATGGTTCCCACAGAACCTCCGTTAAAAAGGTTGAGGCTTGAACTTGGTTTGAGCTTTGGTTTCTTCCGTCCTGTCCTTAGAAACTTGATAGTTTACTTTCTTATTCGCACACGAACTCTAAGATTTGTACATATCGACTATTGCGTTGTTCAATTTAATTAAAGTTATACGAGTGACAGAATTAAAACTTACACTCACTAAAAATGGATATGCACTATTTCCTCGTTGTTCAAATTGTATTTAAATTGGAATTGTTTATCGGCTTACTTAATAAAAACCTTGTTTTCCTGAAAATCTATTTTTGAGATATTTTCCAGAGCCATCCTTATTTCAACGCCTCGTAAATGAAATAAGTTATTAATTTCTAAAGCTGATAGTTGGCGTCGAAATATTCGTCAAGTCATTCATAGAGTTAATTTTTTTTGTAATGGTTGGTGCGTGGTCATATGAATTAAAGTCACTTAACACATGACAGATAATATGTATTTCTCTTTATTTCAGCCTCTCGAAAAAGAGACACTAATCTCGTCGAGTTATGGTTCACACTCTGGTCCATCGTCGAGGCATCTAAGCGCCACCTATCGGAACGCAGTCTCCAGAAGTGCATTTTTCAATTCCGAAGTAAGTACAGCAGAACTCGACGATTAACTTATTTATCTGTATTATATATGACATGAATTCGTTGTGTTGATATAATCAAAGTTATTCCATAATAACACCTGTTATATATGATTGATTGGTGTCCTGTACAATATCGTTAGAGGTTTGGTTGGGCATATGTAGTAAAAAAAACTTCGAACAGATTCGTTCAGATTTTAGAATCTGATGGGCATTTTGATTTGTTGTTTAACATTATTAATATAATACAAACAACAACTAAAGCTCATCATTAAGATTATAAATGAACGAGACAGTATAATGAAGAGATAATAACGACAAAAACTGCTGTTTTCTAAAGTACAATTCTTCTAGTAATCATTTGTATTTATTAATGCCGTATGTGCATCCAGAAAGCTATATGTATTGGCCTGCTATGTTGTAGACGTGTAAATACGCAATACAAATAAAATAATAGCAAACCGCAATAGACAATGTACCAACATTTTCATTATAATATTGATTTTGATTTTGTTCTTATTAGTCTTGGACTCTATGTTCCTCTTTACTTAAATTTAATTGACACCTAACTATTAGAGTTTCGTCACTTTATTGCTAATATTGTTTACAAATGCTTTTGGGTATTGAAAAATATTCTTACATGTCATTTTAAATGGATTAATGCAGTCTCATTCTTTCTGTCTAAGAAAGAAAATTAGCATCACCTAAATTAATGTGCGCCGAGAACTTTTATTTCTTCTGCTTAATTGTTTTTTTTGCTAATTTATAATATGGAGGTTTATAAATTCGTTCAAAATTGAAGTTGTACAATAAATTCCACAAAAACAAAAATTCTTGCCAATTATAGAGGCGTCTCTATGCTTAGAAAACAAATAGAAACAGAATAACGGCAATATCGGAAATGGTCTATCATTAAACATTTTCACTATTTCCTTGATTTTCACTTTATTGTTTTTGAGCACTATTTGTACTTTAATTATGTTTATTGCCGTTTTAAGTTTTTCTATAAGAGCTTCTTTTTTTTATCTTCTTTATATGTAGAAAGGAAGAGAAAACCAACATATAAGCAACGAAAGTCCTAAATTGTTAACCAAGTTGTGGACACTAAATGCAGTGGGAGGGTCTTTTAAGAAACATTTTATGAAAGAAACCAAGTTTCGTAAAAACTGTATAAAAATAATCCGGCTTTTGAAATTTCCGTAAAATTAATTTCTTATCTACGAAGTAAAAACAATCATGCGTAAAACAAACTTTACTAGTGTTATTCTTAAGTCTCAAAAGGGAAGACAACAACAAAGGAATCTGCACAGCAACGATCCGATCGTTTATGTTTCTTTTACATAACACAATGGGAAAAAAGTTGCTGAATAACGCTAATCCGAATGTTGTTAACATTTCGCTTTTTAAAAAAGATTACCGTTAATAATGTGACTGTGTTACTTTGTACGTGTGTACGACTCGTTTTATTTCTGAATCGATTGGAACCGAGTATTTAATTTGCTGCACGAAATAATGTCGTTACTTCGTGAAATACATAAATAGTGCACTGCGGCGAAATTATGAAATACAGCGTATCAATTTTTCGAATATATAAAAATGTTAATCAATAACCTCGAACCAAGGGGGGTGGCGACAGCTTTGAGGGGGATTTGGAAGATATCGAAATTGTTCCAAAGAGAGATGAAATAAGACACATAATCAGTTAAAAAGCAGTTACCTATATTATTTGATGATCAAACAATATTTGTAGAAAATATAATTTAAAATAATCTCACCTTCGAAAAAAGCGCATTTAAATCCATAAACTTCTAAATTCCCCTTAAAAAATAAAATATTGGTTTGATTTGTACTCAGAAACACCAAACAGGTAGAAAAATACAGAAATAATATAAAAAATCCCCGCTAAATAAAACAAAAAGTCAATAAAACTTTCTTTTCAAAATATTTAATATGCTTAAAAAATGTAACAATTCTATTTGGTTTACTAATTAGAAAAAGTGGTCGTTATATTAGGGCCGAGGTTTTCGAAACGTTTTTGTTCCTGAAAATAAGTGGACGTGTAGAAAAATAAATATTTCGAGTAAAATTTTCTACCAACAATTTATATTCTGGAATCTTCCAGATTCCCTGATTCTTCGTACGTTTTCTGACATAATTATGAAATTGAATTTTTCTCAACCTAGTTAAATCCGTCGATATGACAACCTACTTATTTTTTAAATTGCATGGTACACTCTTTGCATTTTTCGAAAGCTGTTTTTTCGAATAGTACCTATTCCATGTCCTTTTTTACTGACTTTTTAATATTGCATATAACTGCTAAGTAAATGTTATAAATACTTATATGACATTACTTGATTTTTTAAACCGGAATACTTTGTACATTTTAAATGGAACGTTTGCAAATCTTCCACAGATTGTAAAAGTTTCTTAGAATATTGTCCTAAAATGAACAATATTGCCATATTTATCTACAAACACATTATCGAATTAATATTCAATACATTTTCGGACTTTTTTGAAAAACTCTTTTTCTATTTTTCCTGCAAACAATATACGCTTCTAAATGCATGAATGCCATTTCATAATATTAAATTTAAACTTACTTTTCAAAATATTTAATATGCTTAAAAAATGTAACAATTCTATTTGGTTTACTAATTAGAAAAAGTGGTCGTTATATTAGGGTCGAGGTTTTCGAAACGTTTATGTTCCTGAAAATAAGTGGACGTGTAGAAAAATAAATATTTCGAGTAAAATTTTCTACCAACAATTTATATTCTGGAATTTTCCAGATAGTTTTCCCTATATAAATATTTTTCCGTCGTAAAATTACGGAATGTTATTTACATTGAATGTTTCTGCTGAAACTGTTTGATTCCTAGAAGCTGGTTTCATAATATTTTCAAATTTAACATGTTTTTGAACAAATGGTGTTGATTTAGATACACGTTACGAAAATTATGCCTATTTTTCATCATTTTTAGTTGCCGCATTTCGACACGAGCAAATCATCTTGCAGACTAAACCTAAACCAAGGATCGACAGCCCCGACGCCATCCACGCCCATGGTTGACTCACTCCCTAGTCTCAATAACAACCTAAATAAGGACCATGAAGTTACAAACAACAACAAGGAGGACATTTCCTTCCCCCTTACGTCAATCGGTAAGGTTTTTAATCATTTCGGTTCTATTGTCTAGGCAAAATGAAAATAAAACACACAGCTCTGCTAATTTCAGTGTTCCTTTCCTTTCCAGTTTTATATATAAACATTTTCATAAAATCAAATGAAAATAAAAGTGAAAGTGGAGACGTGTATTAAAAAAAAACAATTCAAAAAACCATAGAATAAATCCAAAATAAACTACTCCTAAATAGGAAGAATGATTTTAAATGTTATTTAATTTCTTCGGTAATTAATTAGTAATTAATGTGTGCTCTTTGGCGGTTTTGAGTCTGAGAGAAGTAGAGCTTGAGCTTAAAAATATCCAATTTGTTATATGGGTCCTGCACCATTACTGAATATTAGCCACTGCGGAAATTGGTTGTCAACGCTTGCCCACTTGCATAACATATTTCAAACTTTCGACATAGTTTCGATATTAATGATTGGGCCACCAAAGGTAGGGGATCCAATAAACAACTTTCATCGAATCAGAATTTAGGATCGCCAAAATATTACGCCGTGTAATTTCGAAACTTATAGTAGGGATGTAAATGCAACTTTCTTAACTGCTTGAAATACCTTATTTTCATAGTATATTTTATAGTAATTTAAAATAAATTTGTGATAGATTACACAAGTATATACTGAGTTTGATGTTTGATGATGTTTGGGGACCCTTTTTCCAAAAAATTCTATAGTTTTGCTCTATCACGTTTTTTTTTTAAAGCGCTACGACGTGAATATCTTTGGTCCATGTTAGGCACGATTTTTAAATGAATTGATTTAAACTTATGTGCAGTTTGGTTGTATTGGTCGTCGTCCTACTGCGTAAAGTATAAATATGGAAAGAGGACATTGCGTGAACAATGCAAATAACTTTTGTTATATCTGTGGTAGTACTGTTGTAATAATGCAAAGCCAAACTATAGCTTCTTTTGCCAAAGATATATACCACACTTATTTTGGTGTAAAAATTGGCGACCAAGTCCTGGGCTCCTCATACTGTTTGTTCCGTTTGCGTTGAAGCATTAAAGGACTGGTAAAAAGGTAGGAAGAAATGTTTCAGCTTTGGTGTTCCTAAGGTTGGCGAGAGCCTATGAAGCACAGTAATTATTGTTATTTTTGGTCGTGTAATGTTCAAGGATTCAACAGAAAAAATAATAAACAAATTGTGTATCGCAATCTTGACTCTGCTATATGACCAGTTCCTCATGGACCAGATGTATCGATACTTACCGCCCCCAAGGAATTAGAATCTAGTTCCGATCCAGATGACTCAGATTTTACACCAGATTTGGTGACGAGCATTTAATGACACCTGGCGTCACATCGCGAAAAAGAGTTATGTCGATATTTTACTCAGGAAGGACTGCTAGTGTATCATAATAATAATTTTGATGAATTTTGTAGACCTGAGTTATTGGAATATTTGTGGAACTGATATGATGATTCGTGCATTCGGATTCCAATGATCTCGTACTCAGAATTGGTATTTCTGCAGAAATTCAGCAGCGATCTTCTTGTCCAAATACTTTTTTCAGCGCTGAGGAATTGTAAAAAAAGTAAATGCAGAAATCGTAAAAATTTCAATTTTAAAATAGCTAAAATTTAAAATTGAGGTTAATTTCTTATATCAAGTTACCATAATTAATTAAATTGACACGATTTTTTAGAAAGGCTTTTATTAATAAAATCATAATAAATTTAAACAGCGTAGCATTAATAAATTACGTTCTGACTTATTTGTATTTTATATGGCAATTCCAGCACTTGCTTACAGAACGCTGTAGGCTTTGCAGGCAGCCAGCCATAAAATTCTAATCATCCAATTACCATAAAATACCCCAAATTTATCGGGCACACTGTGCTTTAAAGATATTGTGATCTATATACAATAATGATAGGATTGGGGGATCGGATAAAAGCCCAATACTCTGCTCATTAGGGAAAAATGCGAATTGATAATACAAGATAGACTTACAATTTACCATTCTTCTGAAACTGGGTCAGTTTAACTCTGATGAAGCCAACAGGATGTTTGGCGAAACGAAAAGCTTTGAAACTAGTATTAGTTTCAGTTAGTATTAGTTAAGTTTTGTGTGTTTGGTAAACAAGATTATTCATCCTCGTTAGTTTGTTTGATTGCTCAAAAAAATGCCTATCCTTTTTTAAACTTAATTTTCTAATTCACTTTGAAGAGAAAGGAGCTTTTTCTATTCATAAATTTTATTATTTGATTAGTAAATGACTGAAGCTTTACAGTTATAAATTTATATAATTTATGGGGATGAGATTGATAATTGTTTGCATGATGTCTAATGATTTGTATTTATTTCTAGAGGCACTACGCTTATACGGAAACCGACTCACCGAATACGAAAAGACTGAAATTGAAAAATACTCGAAAATCTGGTATCTCGGTTTGAGCGCCTGTAAAATTCACGGCGAACAAGGCGGATCCCAAAATGGTGGATACGATGACGAGAGCGGAAGTTATAATAAGGTAGGATATTTTGTGCAGTGTGTATGTTTTTTCATCCAGCATTCATTATTTTGTTAATGAAATACGGTACCTAATTAACTAACCAAAACGTAATTAATTACCGATGGTATATCAGTAGCTACCGTTAGGGTAATCATTACTGGTCTCACACAGGCAAAAAGAAAGAAGATTTATGACGTGATTTATTGTAGTCTAAATATTTTTAAAAAATTTGCTCGAAAATAGTTTAGAAATATAATCTTATCCCTTATTTGTATGGTTCAATTTTTTTTACGTTCTGTTAATGTATGATTTTGCTTTTACCAAAATGTAGGTTAACAATCGTTATTTGTTTACGTTTTCATTAATTACAAAAAAGATTTTTTTTTTGTAATTAATATACAGAATTCAAAAATAGTAAAAGCTACGTTTCCAGATTCCGCGATGATATTTTAAATTCTGATAACATTTCACTGATACACTTCTAAAGTTTCCTATTTTGAAAAACCTCCAAAATTCTAAGATGTTAAGAATTTTTTTATCGACACTGGTAAATCTGACAACACTGCTGTTAACATTTCTGAATTGTTTAATTAATAGAAACAAAATTTTGAAATGATGAGGCTTTATCAAATTCGACATGCGCAATTCACGACAAAAAATATAAATAGGGCATTCCATTTAAAACAAAATTATGACGTTTAACGTAAAAGTGTTAAATTTGTTTAATTCTGTTCAGTTTTACAGATATTTAGACGTTCTGGTACTTTTTACTAGATAGTTGTCCAGTTAGGTTACATTTTTAACATAGATTATCTAAATAAAAACACCAAACTAGCAAGAAGTGGGTGTCCTATACTGCATTATGCTACCATATTTTCTCGACGTACGCATATGGTCTTAACACTTATATCGTTTCATAAACCCCTTACTTAATAAAATTATCTTTTTCATGTTTATTTTTGAATTTATGTATTATTGCAGTTTATGAGATCTTGTAAGTTAATTACTACTACTAGTTTTTATTTTGAATAACATAAGAAAAATTATAAGTATAAAAATTAGGCCTACTTTCAAAATTCTAAGCCCGGAACATGGACAACTTAAAATCTCTCAAAAGTCGCTAAACGAAATAACTTTTATGACCATATTTTTATTTAGACAATAATGGCGAGGAATGGGGTACAGCTCACTTTTTTTCTGGTAGCGTGCCGCCCTTATTTAGAAAATTTACATGAAAATCGAACAGGACAATTAATTACCGTAAAAAACTTAGACACTAGAATTTTGGTGCTTCGATTTGAGTCAAATTCTGGGAACTGTTTGTTGGTTATCAACGCAGGAACCGCGTACGCAATACGAGTTGTTATCAAAACTTATCTTCCAGATGTTCGTCGTTTCCGTTGTCGTTCAGTGTTTATGGAACTAATGAACTAATGCATTACAAATTAGCATTGTTCGTAACACAAATTTTGCGCCTTAGAAAAACCCGGGCCTATGTCGTGGAACTGGGTCGCCCGCCCGACGAAGTATATTAAAATTTATTTAATCATATTTTGCGACTACCTTCCATGTCATTTGAGATGTAAATGAGAGTTGCGTGACTATTATACGAATGCTCGGTGGATTCGGTCGCGGTCGGAATGGTTGATAGTAAAAGCTAATTGATGTCTTAAAGGCAATACCGGTGAAATTGAAATTAAAATCGCTTTTGCTCTGGGCATCGGGTTATTTGTATCTCTAATTTACAGTTTATTTGCAGCAGTTTACGAACTGACGATACTTAGATATCGGGTTTATTATAAATGGACTTTTAATTTCGACAGTTACATACTTATGGAGGTTTGGCTCGAAATAAAGTTCAACATTAATAACTTGAACTTTAATACATTTGTTTATACATAGAAATAACGCATACCAAATATCAAAATTCAAATCCCAATTTTTAAGTTGTGAGTCCTTTCGAACGACACTAAACGCGCGGGAATGATTGTGACGTCATACCGCTGCTTTTCGATCGATACGGCGAGAGAAACTTACATTATTTGCGTTTATTTTTGGCTCGTATAAAGGTGTGTTTATATTTAATCTACGCCAGTTTGTATTTGTGCTTTGTGTGCTTTACATTATAATAATGGCAGCAACACAAAACCAAATCGTGCCATCGTGTTTGAGTGCAACCCGTAAAGCGCCAGATTAAATTATTATACGTTTACCAGAAAATAAAAGCCGTCGTTTTTTGCTAACATTATGTTCAGGTGTCACTTTAGGCTCGAGCTTGCAAACATTTTTAACTATTCGAACTTGCACCGATCCTATTGCAGTCTCCATAGGAATGCCTTCCTGATCTATATAAAATAAAGAACACTTTAGGTTATCAATGCCAATATACTTTAGTTAGTAGTATTTAGTTCCACTAGTTTAAAAGAAATCCTTTTTGTTTTTTTGTTGAATAATTTACATTTTATTTGAAATACCGTTTGAATTTTAAAAACTAGAACACCTTAAGCTGCTTACAATATTATATTGGTTTAAAACTAGTGGCTAAATTTTCAATAAACATACCTTTTAGCTTTAACACCGCAAACCTCAGCAAAAGAATAACTTTCAGTCTTTTGCATGTAAGACCATAAAGGTAAATCGTAGTGAGCTTTTAAAAAATCGACTTCGGTCATTTTCAAAGCTTTCTTTTTGATACTAAACACAAGTTGACAAAAGCAAGCGACAGGATCAAGATTAAAATTAAAATTAAAACCACCACCGGCTTCTCTATGATACCGTCCTGGTGACGTTTTTTAACAAGCGCATTGACGTCACAGCCGGTCACTGCGCGTTTCAAAGAGGATTTAAATTTTACCATTTTTAATTGCTTATATTTGTTACATAGAACTACGAGATTTTTGTGTACTGTGATCCTTTTAATAGTATAAACTTACTTTTTTGTAGTTATATCTAATACTACATAGATTATTATACATTTAACAAATAAAAAAAAAACAAATCGGTTATTTCAATTTTAATTATTAATAAAGTTTATATTAAATCTTTGAATGCAGGTTCTTCTTGTTTACACACAAATGTGCTACTGTTGAAGATAATGTACCCAATAACAATAATTTGAACAACGAATGAGGTTATCGCGACTCCAACTTAAGAGTGTATTGCTCAGCTTAAAATAATATAAAAGTTCGCTTTGTAAAATTTAGAACAGAAAATGCAACTGAGTACATAAGTCTTGAGCGAGAATCTAGCTTAGAACAATAAAAATGTCGATGCTTCTAAACGTGCAATATTTTGAATGCAATATGTGGCTACAAAGTTGACTGCTACAGCTTAGCGTATCATAATATTTAATGCAGATAATGATGTTTCGTAGACGGGCTACACAATCTGGCAAAAATGAACGATGAAATCATACGCTTTGTGGCGGTCGAATTTTAGAAAAGTTTTCTTGATCAAAACATTATTTGAAAACTTTTGAAGAAGGTCAAGTCAATGAAAAATAAAAATTAAAAAAAAGAAGGAACTAAGTTCTAATTATTTAAGAAATTGTGGATAACATGTGCACTTTTTTATTATTTTTAGGTGAAGATCTCCCTTTGATATTGCTAATTTGTTTTCAGGTCTTGCACGACCATATATGTTACCGATACGAGATTCTGGAAGTAATAGGCAAGGGTAGCTTCGGCCAAGTGATACGAGCACTCGATCACATGACCAACAAGCACGTGGCCATCAAAGTGATAAGGAACAAGAAACGGTTCCATCACCAAGCATTGGTCGAGGTCAGGATTCTCGATCACCTCAGAAAACGGGACAAGGAGAGCAATCACAACGTTATCCACATGCTGGAATATTTTTACTTCAGGAATCATCTGTGTATTAGCTTCGAATTGCTCAGGTAAGCAGTACCTATTATCTTTTTGCAATAAATAATAGTAAAGTCAAAGTAATATCTATTTATACAGAAAATACCTAAAAAATTAGTGCCCGCCTTACTGCTGTACACAACCAACCTGCCTCGAGTTTTAATTGTTAATACCTATTGTTTTGGTAAATCAGGATAGATAGTGATACATTTTTTATCTTATCAACTCATCCCGCTGTATTTGTGGCGTCCAGAATGCAATTATATCTAATTGTATAAGTATCGTTCTAACGGCAAGGAACAAGTGGTTTTAAGTAGAAGCGAAATTATAACCGATTTAGATATTTTGCTTTGCAATTATGACTCCATGGTTTCTATACGTGCCCGCCAAGATGTTATGCTAAAATGCGCCCACGATGGGTTCGAAAAAGATTAACAAAGATTGATGTACCGTTAACACGACTTTTTAAATATCGACGACCTGTCCCAATATATCGCGAAAACATAAGTACATCCTGAATGAAAAATCGCACTTTTAAATCTGACCCAAATACATTGAGTGTTTGTAAACAATTTTCTGTCATTAACGCAGGCAAGGAACCTGTCTAAAGATTAGACAATAACAAATTAAATGTAGGTTAAGAGCTTCGTCTGAAATGCCTTTTATATTCTAAAACCCAGCTTAGATAAACAAATAAATCATGTGAGGACTATTAAAAGCCTATTCATAGATGTGGGACAAAATATATGTCGCGTTTAACAAAAAGTCCTCTCTTTGGTTAATTATCTCCATTGATTGATTTTTCCTTTTTTTACAATTTGTGAGGGGATTGTAATATTTTTCTAAGTGGCACTTCTAATTGACAACGAGCAGTATATTTAACGGTCGACTTAATTCGAACCAACACTTACGAATTTCCATGGACAATCCGTAAGAATCTTATTAGGTATTTATTTCAATAGTTTTAAACAGTCTATCTTATTTATTTATTGAAACTGAATTTTTCAATGTTAAATTCGGTAAAATATGTGAGGTATTGGCAAATAGCACATACCGTGCGTTCAATTTATCTTGATAACATTTTAATTGACTGTAACTTTTTTGTTTTTAGAGATGTCAAGGTAAACAAGAAAAGAAAATGTAGGGTTAGTGGAAAAGTTTCTTTTCCAAGGGGCATGTAATACAAAACACTATCAATTATCTGACGTATAAGTCTGCATCATATTGTTTTAAATGATTACTTTATATTTTAGTCCACTCGTTTTTGACAATTCCGCAAATATAGGACTGCAACAAAAAATAATTATTTACAAATTAACGAAGAACGAAAACATTAAAAATAACAAGACGCAGTAAAGTGAAAAATTCTTTAACTAACTATTCTAAATAGCGCTGCAGGTGACCAGCATTTTTCTGAACACATTTCTCATACACTCTAATTGTATGATGTCTTGCATTTAGTAACGTTTCCGGATTGTCTCTTAACTGATCAATTGCCTCTGGAATCCTTTGCCAAAGTTCCACGACATTATTACAAGTTTTCATGTGTCCTCAAAAAAATCCATTAAAGTTAAGTCGGGCCCAACCTATGGGATATTTCATGTTAAGGAAATTTTTAACTTGCATGACATTGTGAGGAGGGTCACCGTCTTGCTGCCATATAATCAGTGCTGATATATTTTGGGGTAAATCTTCTATATATATTGGTCTATTTGGTGCTCTAAGAGTTGCGAATAATGATCTCCAGTTAACATTTGGATTGGTACCCCTGGGTTTTTATTTCGTCTATTTGTCTAGGATTATTTAAAGACGTTGTTTACTAATATGTCAAACATGAACATATTTTTATTTGTCAGTCAGGGTCCCCTTTGAAATTATATAAAAATGTTCTACTTTTGACGATTTGTCAAAAACGAGTGTACTAAAATATAAAGTGTGTTACATCATTGTAATCGGAATAAGACATTCTATTAAACACATATATAATATACAGATTGTTCCATTTAAAAAAGTATGATGTAGGCTTATATGTCAGATTTCAGTATTTGTTCGGAAAAAACTTGGCTTCTAACCATACATTTTCTTTTTTTGTTTACGTTGATATCTCTAAAAACAAAAAAGTTACAGTCAATTAAAACTTGTGTTTCCTTAACAATCCACAGGGTGTTGAAATATGGACATTTTGAGACATTGACATCAAATTTGGAGAATCGGTTATACTGCCTAACATAATCCGCCATGTAAAATAGTTATGACAATCCAAAAATTCGTGTGACGATGGTTCTAAAATAATTTTTGTGATTTATTTGGACACTTGTTGCTTTCTTGAGTCCTTTCTGCATCTGCAAGAAAAAATTAAAAACCAATAGTGCTGCAAATGGCTAGGTGAAATGTGCAAATGGCATATAAAATTGTCTTTATTTTATAACTATGATATTTAAGCACCTCTATATAGTGATATGTTATTGATATTTTTAACCAAAATTGTTTGTAGAAATATTCTTTCAGAAAAGTATATGAGCACAAATAATGTTCATGAACTAGGATTTAAACTATATATTTATATATATTATATATAGTAAAGTGACGGTCTAAAATTAAACATAATTGAAATAGTTATTACTGTCTTCTTTTTCAAGAGACGTGTTACGTACCATGTACTCTAACACTAAAAGTATTTTATTGCTAAAAACATTGTCTTACATGAAAGTCAAGCAAAGCATTGTGCGCAACTACATGTTTGTATGGAATTGTCAGTACAACATGTAAACAATAGTCGTATATTTTCGACCAGAATATCAATTAAACATTTCCTGTCTTACACAGGGCAAGAAGAACGTGACCATTTGGCGGCCATAGACGGCGAATGTGTATTTTCCGTACTGGTTAGGTTGGTAAAAGTAATGTGGAGGAAGATATAGCCCCAAATTATAGTTTGAAGTTCTATAGTCTAGTTCTAGATATTTTCTATACCTAATGTCTATATTTTAGAAAAGCTATATGAGTGACAGTAAGAATTAAATATATCTGTTGAATTGCATTGTAGTGTGCCATTGCCACTGCATACAACTTGATGGGAGTTACAAACCCTCGTCCAATTCCAATCGGGAATAATTAGCTAAAGCTGCAAAGATTGCGGTTGCTCCTCACGTAATCGTTTACCTTCCCCGCCACATACTTTATGCACTGCAACAACAGAGGTCCGGGATGGATACGAGTGATTGTGTTGCCGCCTAGCAATTCGACGAATCTCGATACATTTTTACGATAACAGACATATACATAGACAGACATTAGGCAAGGTAAAACATACACATAGACCTTTTGGATAGGTATACTTTTTCTTAGACTTTTGAAAAGAAGAGTTAAATCCCAAAGTTTTGAAGTTTGAATCAAACATTATATATATTATACTAAATATTTTTAAGACTAATAAGTCTGAATGGATGACCTGAAGATCCTTATTATCTTCTATCGTTGAAAAGGTCCGTTAGTTAAAGGTATAATGTCACAGGCCCTAGGTGCAGGAAACTTACGGACTGAGTTCGTGTCATTCTAGAAAACACAATTTTCTTGCGAAACACCAAACGCGACAAGTAGTCGAATAAGGAAAATAAATTTAATACGGTCCAAGTATCACCGCGTATTTAACAATTGACGGTTGACGACAATGCCATTGTCTGAATGAAACGTGAGGATGATACGTTTTCCGGCTAATGAGCAGCTTCTTTTACAAAAGCTAGGATCTGTTTACCATACCAAAGCGGACGGAATGAACAAAATTAAAGTTGTTCAAAAATGCAAAATTCAAAAAAATAAAGTTATATTATTTTTATTTGTTTTTAATGTTTTTAATTATACACTGATCAGATCAGGGATCAGATCTGATAGTTATGCATGTGTTCTGCATTGACGTCACTAAGTGAATGTATGACGGTAGTAGAAAAAATATAGTATTTAACAAGTTTGTAAAATTTTTCAGATACTCGTTTATTAAACGCTCGTTCCGATGCGCTCCGCTAGTGTCTAAAGAGACGCGTGACTAAAGTATCGTTTATGAAACTTGCTGCATAATAGACTATTCTTAATCAAATAAAATAAATCTTAACATTTATGAAGAAACTTACCTGGTGATTTTTGCGTGTTTTGTTGAGTGATAGTAAAGCATACGAAGAAATATTCATCGGTTTAACACTGGAAACCACTTCTTCTGTTTGATCTCGACCAGCATTATTCGGTTAGCCGACGAACTATCCAAATGCATAAAACATAAGATGCATCTAAATTAAGTTTTATGTTAATCCAAACTCGAGAATAATGACATACTCGAGGTTCAACGACTTCATTAACTTAATGTACAATTAAATAATTTAAACGCTTCGCCATGTGTAACTAATTCCCTTATTTTTCGTAGTTTTCGTATATATACGAAGTAATTTATCGTAACTGCACGTATGCTATACATATCACAGAGGCGTAGAGTGTTATCACTGAATATATAGGGTGATTCACCACAAAATTTACCGATCTGTAACTATAGAACTATAACTAGTAAGTATAAATATTATTATATTTCAATTAAGTAATTTTCTTTTTATAAACAGGCCTAGTTAAAAAATGTATACAGATCAGTGCAGAAAAAATAACAATTAATGTCATTGTTTTCAATATGCTAATAGTGTGTTAAACGGCATGTAAGTCACGAGTTTATTTCTCACGATCGGAGCGAGCAATTAATAAACGACTGATGTCAAAAATTTGCACACTATAATTTTTCTAAGACCGTCAGTCTTTAGATACATTTTTGCAAAATGACACTAATCGGTTCACGGACATGGCCGTCAAAATTGAGAAACGTCAAAATTCAAGCAGTGAGGTAATATCTCCGAAAACATCCGATTGCTCCAAAACCCGTGGGGAGGTGAAATCCCGGAAATGTCCGAAGTGGCTCGAATCCGTGGGAAACGAAACTGACATGGCAAAATGACACTTCCCTCATGCTAGATCGGTGTATAACTGGGCAATTTACAGAAGGGAGTAGCAAAATTTTCGTCTTTTTTAAAATTTAATGTTTTGTTCAGGCGTTTTTTTCACCTAAATTACTTACTACCTTGTTAAACTGATCTCCAAAACTGTGAAGCATTTACACAAAATATGTAACCCCCATCAATAAAAGACCTTAGTTGGACGGCCGATGAAAAATTGTAAAAATAAAACGTACAACAATCGCGAATTTTAGCGAAACTATCTTCCTAAATTACGTTTAGCGAACGCTCGGTATGTGGCATGAGTTTCGTTTAAAGTTTGTTGAACTTTAACCACCTTCAAATTGTATTAAACCGCCGCTTTCGCGTTTATTAAGACTAATTGAAACAATCTTCTTTTCAGCCTTAATCTCTACGAACTGATCAAGAAGAACAACTACCAGGGATTTAGCTTAAATTTAATCAGGAGGTTCGCGAACTCGCTACTCAAATGCCTCAGGCTCTTACAGAAAGAGAATATCATCCACTGCGATCTAAAACCGGTAAGTTGGCTGTCCTTCATTCGTTATTGATTAGTTCTCTACAATGTATAAAAGCCTTATCTTAAGAAGTTACTATTATAACATTATATTTATTGACATCTAACTTTCTTACGCATATAATTAAAAAGGAAAACATAGGAAGCGCGTTTTCCGAAAATGTACATTTTACAAAAATTGCAAAACTGTTTTTGCTATAAAAAACTTCTGGTTTCTATGAGAATATTTATAAAGCACCATTTTATTGTTAAAAGTGTAATCTTTTTAAAAAAAAGTTTCATAGTTGTCAGCAGATTGTTCTTTTTTTATATATCATGAATTAGGGCGCCCATTAAGCAATTGCGTGTATAGGAAATAAAAAAATTCTAAGTGAAGAAATACAGCCTAATTCAGAAAAATCATGAAACAGAAGAATTTCAACGAAACTTCTACAAGAGAAGCAAGTTAATAACAACATTAACAGTTGAGATATTCTAAACCTCGAATATATGGATGAAAATAAATATATTTAGTTTTTTTGGTAAATTGTATTTAAAGTAGATCGGTTTTATTTTATTCGCTAATATAGAGACTTCTTTAGATTTATCTTATGCATTAAATGTAGTACTTTAATCATAAAAAATATCGCGTTTCTATAACGGATTTCTTTGCTCGTGGCGCATTAACTCCGATCATTAAATTTTTATTACTCCGCTCTACCGAAATAAATCACTCTAAAGCTTGCAATTTTCGTATTTTTAATCGAAACTTTAACGTTTGGGCATTAACTTGTTTATTATTAAAGTTCGCTTCGTTCGTTCGTTCATAAATCACCGTGCATTAAAGTAGGTCCTCCGTACTAAATTCGGTGGATTTATTATAACCAAATATTTATTAGGGAAAACATCATATCCAAAAATTGATTACGTGTTTCTGTTTGCAACAATATTTTTCCAGTGTAAATTAAGTGGCTGCAGATTAATTTCGACGTTACTCTGTTATATATTTTTTAAATATTTCATATGGCTTTAGAGTCTAGAAAGATTTCATGGTCCGACACTTGAGCAGCGACGACGACTATTAAAGAAAAAGCTGCAGTGGGGTTTTTGACTGGGTCAATATTATTACCGTCGCATATTGCACTGCAGGTCTCATTCATTAACATTTTAATATAATTCGTTAATTTATTAATGTTATCTGCTACGCATTGTATGTATTGTGGAGTCGGTATGTAAACGACCACGCCTAGTCTAATGAAAGGAACCTTTAATTTCGTCGAGAAATTAATTTCTCGGAAAACGCTAATTACGCTGGTTAAGTGAGCGAAATTAAATTCTTTATGAAATGAATGTCAGACGAAAAGAAACTATAACTCCTTATTTATATTTGTTTGGGTTTAGATGTCCCTTATTGGGAATGTTCTTTAAGTTTCTGATACCTATCCCTTAACATTAAAAAATAAAATAAATTATCAGTTAGATTTGAGATGTATTATGAACATTGCTTTTTAAATCAGAAAATATAGAGACCTGAATAAAATTAATTTTTGGAATAGAATCTAAGATAATAATATAAATAATTAATTTGAGATGTATTATGAACATTGCTTTTTAAATCAGAAAATATAGAGACCTGAATAAAATTAATTTTTGGAATAGAATCTAAGATAATAATATATATAATTAATGTAGAAGCTGTAAGCGGTGCTTCGATAGCCAGGGTAAGAACGGGAGAGAAGAAAATTATAATGAAAAAGCACTTTAGCTAAATTGCATTTTTGCAAGAGATGAGCCTTTCTAAAAATAAATTTATATTTAAATTAGTGAATCCTTGTGACAATGAATTACAAAAAACAATTGCGTTACAGGTAAAAAATTCCGAAGCATGTTATTCTGATGGTTGTGTATCCATTGGGAAGTATGGGTATGAATAGAGTCGTTTTATTTTCATAACAAATATGTTAAAATGTAGAATTGCTACGGGTTGGATTTTAAGCCATCTAAATTCAGCACATATTCATAATAAAATTTTCACAAGCAGTATTGTATTCATTATCAATAAAAAAAAGATCACCCTTGAGATCACCTTACACCTGAAATATAAGCGAAAAACCCTTGAAAATTTTGAAATTTAAATTAGAATAATAGTTTATACCTGCAGGGGAATTAATGTTCGTTCAATCAAAACTCCTTTTATGATTTAAAAATGTTGAATAGTGAAATTATTTTTCTTATTTTTAGTATTGGGACAATTTTTGTTTCGGAGTTAATCATCGAATTTTGCTATAATATTAAAAAACGAGGGCTTCTCATTGAACTGTCGGATACAAACACGTGTGTAATTAACTTATAGAGATGCTAATAATAAGTACCTCAGCCACGTGCTTGTTTGTCAGTTAATCTGATTTTTCTTAACTTAATTTTAGAAATTAACTTTTAAATAACTACATATACGTACACGGCAATAATTGCATTACGAAAAATACTATTGCAACAATTGCAGTTTTAATTGGCCAGTTTCGAAACAATTATGCAGGTGCTTTCCTATGAAAATGGCTTCAAACATATTATGAGTCTGACAATAATTAAACTTTAGTTTCATTACAGAAGTGTGCTATTAAATGTGGAAAGCGAAATTTTATTGGAATTTCACTTATTAAAGAGGTTAACTACTAGAATGGGACACGGGTGTCATTGTTATCATAAATCCATTTGAAGCGAAGCGCTTTTTGCGAAAATACCCAACTGCGTTAGCTGTAGGCAGTTTCGGTCAAATAGAAATTGTCAACAGAAAAAAAGAAATTCTTCAATACTCTGTAAATCAAACATCAATCGCTATGACGAATGAATACATACCAATTCAATTGGTGAGTGATTCTCCCCATAAGTATTGAAATTAGTATCCAAAGCCATTAAAGAAACATAAATTGTGTAAGATAAATTATACAATATTATTTTGAATTGACAATTTAGTTTTTAAACCGCTTGAACGCAATTATGTGTAGTTTACAATTGATAACAATATATTAAAAGAGAGCGCTATACTTTATTTCAGGAAACCGTCCTTCTAAAACAAAGACCCAGCGGATCAATTACTGATATCGATCGGTACTAGATATGGTTTAAAAGTAATCCCGCGTTAAATCAATAATTGTCTCGAAAATTAAATAATTTTATCTCAAACCCGATTAAATTATTTTTTTGTATAAACTTAGTACATAACTCCATTTTTTTAATCTTTCTGTAATGGGGTCAAGAATTTTTCCAACACAGACACGTAGTATCATACACTGGAAATACCCAATGCGAATCAACTCTATATTAATTGTTTGTCTATTTAAATGATCAATAAAAAGTTTGAAGTGCTGGTAGACGGCCCTAGCTACAGTTATTGTCATGCTTATTTAAAAAAATAAGCCGCGAAACCTATTTAGGCTATTTATGTGATAGATGGTACATGGTTATTGTACAAAACTAACCAAAAATAAATGTGTGTTGTTTTGACTCGGGTTATGTTTTGTTTACAGACTGCGCCATTTTCAATTAATTAGTAATAAGGAACAAAAATCTGTGCTGGTTATTAGGTTAGACGATAAACCGTTTCAATTTCGTAAAGGCGTCTGTACTTTCTAATCTAATTATATGTTAAATTCTAAATTAAAGAATCCTTGATTACCTACAAAAAATTTGAATTTTAAATAAATCTTACTTAATAATAGGCATTACTGCCAGTGAAAAATACGGTTTAATTTTATTATTTTTGGAACGATACTTGCCTCGCCATCTATGTTGCAAAGGGCGAATAATCGAGGAAAGTGAAAACTGAGGCGAAATGCCGCTATCTAAGAGCATTGCAATAAGCTTATGACTGCCCAGATTTACACCGATCCAGAAATACTTGTTACTTTCAAAAAGTCGTTGAAAACCCTCATATAAAAATTTCGTTGAAAAATAAAATGTTTATGTTTGTCTGTTTGTGCATTCTCGATACTCTATGGAAAGGGTTTTAAGAAAACATCTTTATCTCTTGAACTATTTGTCGGAACGCAAAAACTCTTAACTAGAACCCGCGCCAGGCTTTTGGTCAGAGTTCTTTGTCCATAATTTACTACAAATTCACAGAGTGTTCATTAAACTAAAAAAAGGAGAATTGAGTTCTCCTTAGAAAGAACATTGGCTTTAACTAAAAGACCATAAATCATTTCATTATTTTGGCCGTATCGAGGGTTACACCTCTTGTTTATGAGGTTTTACATATCAGAGTGTACAACATGTGCCTTGCTATGTGGAAGTCACATGTATGCCGTAAAAGCTGGAAACTTTTCACTTTAGAAAATATATTTTTTGAAGTTTTGAATTTTTTTTAAATTTCCGATCAGAAAAATTCTTCAACCAGGAAACGCCGGAGATCTGAGACTAGAACCAATATCGCAGTCACTTTTTTAATGATGTACAGGGTATTGTCGGTTGTAGTCAAGGAACTAAATTTATCTCTACCTAAACGGAAAAGCACAAATAACGGAGCAGTTTGTTTTAATCAGTGGTGTAGGTTATATCGAGGGCAGAAATTTTCTTATTTACAGTTTTCATATATCATACAGATTGTGCGAGATATTTGTACAGATTTTTATATTTTCCAAAGTTTGAAATGACTGTAAAGTTAAGTTCAGTGCATGTTTGAAAGGCACTCAGGGTTCAGGATAGAAAAAACCTGGAGAGCTGCCCCTTTGACATAAAATGCGAGCACAATGTAATTAGTTTGCGAAAGTCGTCTAGTTTAGATGCCAATTGTAGTTATGTTTTGGTTGCAGGCAAAGGTTTGTGAAAAAAATGGTTAAAATTGAATAAATCAGAGTTTATTTGGGATTATCAACAAGACCCGGTATATTTATATTCAAAATTCGTTTTGTTTTAGGAAAACGTCCTGCTAAAACAAAGAGGCAGCAGCTCAATTAAAGTAATAGACTTCGGAAGCTCTTGCTACGCCAATCAAAGGGTCTACACCTACATCCAATCACGTTTTTATAGGTCGCCTGAGGTTATTCTGGGTCTCACTTACGGCACTGCAATTGATATGTGGAGCCTGGGTAAGCAGACGTTATTGCAGAATCATTTCTTTTCATTTTCGAGAAAGTTTCAGTTTTCAATGTCCAGATTCAAAAATGTAAATACGGATTTACAAGTTTTTGAGTTTTCATTGATTCATTAGTACAGAGAAATCAGCAATCTGTGTTCTGTGTTTTGCGGCATTCCTACATTACATGGAGGTGGCAGATATATATCAATTTATAGAAAACCGTAAATGGCTAAGATGTTAATGCAATTGCATACCTCGGAATTATTAGATATTATAGGTTATTATACCCGAAAGGTGGTCTTGATCGTTAAATATACCTTCCAAGGAAAGTGGTTTAGACGCTTCAGTAGAAGAATATTTTATTTCACCTGTAAGAGGATTGCTATTTGCGAGCTTTAATGCAAAGCAGTTACCGAACGCGCTGGTAACTACAAACAATTTTAAAATGTCTCTCGAATCTGGTCATAGGGTGGAGTTGTATCAGAAATGTAAATTAATCGAAAGCATTTTCCATAAGTGTCCCTTTGATGAAATCTTTTTTCGTGTTTAATATTGCATTTAATTCCATTACAGGTTGTATTCTCGCGGAATTGTACACCGGGTATCCTTTATTTCCTGGAGAAAATGAAGTGGAGCAACTGGCCTGTCTTATGGAAATACTTGGAGCGCCCCCAGATGACCTTATCACGGTAGCGACTCGAAGAAGGTTGTTTTTCGGTAAGCCCCTATCCTAAACGGCGAAAAATCGTTTACATTCATTTTGTACACTCTTAGATTCTCGTGGCAATCCCCGATGTGTGACCAATTCCAAGGGTAGGAAACGGAAGCCGGGATCAAAAAACCTGGCGATGGTTTTGCGTTGCAACGATGGCATGTTCATCGATTTCGTCTCTAGATGTTTGGAGTAGGTTTTGTTGTTAATATCGCATTCTTAATTCATGTTCTTATTTGAATTATATGATTTTAAAGAAGTAAATGTTTTTTATGGAAATTTATTCTGAAGTATAACAATAACTTTTTATCTCAGTGTCAAAAAATCAATCAACAGATTCGTGCATCCTATAATCATGTAAAGCCTTGTATATTTTATTTGCGTCAAAGAAGGTAAGACACTTTCGAACTGGCTATTCGGTTAACTTAATTTGTAGCCTTTGGATTTTTCACTCAGGTTTAGTGTACTCTGGGCCTTTATAAACTGGGGATGAGTTATTGATTTATGTTGACAATACCTTTACTAATATATACCCGGCCAGATACAGGTCGAAGGTCTGTTACGCGATAGAATTTACAGTTTTGAAATAAAATATTGACATTTCTAAATTTTGGACATTTTGTATGCGATGAATGCCGTCTACCGCATAAGCATTTATCACCTGGTTAAAAATGCTTGAAGAGGACAGTGTTGCCAATAACGGTATTTCATTTACAATTTGCGCATCCATGGGTGAAAATCTAAAGGCGTTAAATCTGTGTGGTCGGTTCCAAAGTCTCTTAACTCCATTGAAATGAACTTAAATAATATACCGGGTATTCCAATTAAATTCAAGAAGACAACTTTTAGATTTTTCTACTTCCACAGGCTACTGTAGTAGTATTTATCAATCTTCTGGATTCTTGCTGTGTCGGTTACTGATAAATCGAACTTACTGACGTTTCGCTAATCATCCTGTTGGCTTCTTCGGAGCTTAACTGAAACCACAGAACTGAACAGTTGCAGTTAAGCTGTGAAGAAGTCAACAGGATGACTGCGAAAAGTCAGCAAATTCAACTCAGCAACGATCTAACCAGGAGGAATCAGGAAGTTTTGTAAATAGTAACTTTTGGATTTAAAATTTTACCCTAAAACAAACTCTTATGGCAATGTAAAGGAGAATATAAAAACCATAAATGTTGGGACATATCCTGAATATAGGTTCTATGCAACTTTTATCTTCACTATAAGATTATTCAGTTATTATTCTAAAATTATTTGTAGCTGGAATCCCAAAAAAAGGATGACGCCTAGTGAAGCACTGTGTCACTCTTGGATCTTATCCGGGTCATCTTCGAATAAATCCAGCGAGCTGCGACACAGTCACTCGGAAGTGAACGTCGCTCATGAGAGTCACTCGTCGGGGAGCATATCGGGCAGCAGTCACTCGCGATCTCACTATAAGTGCGTACTTCAAAAAAGTGATAAAGTCAAGGCCAAAATCATAGACACGAGGTTAAGTAACGGGAAATTAGACTCTAACTTGAACGACTCCGGTACGTTTCTACCCCCCATACTCTAGTTTATCTTTTAGTCTCGTTATAGCCGACTAATAAGTGAAGTGTAGATCAACGATGACAATAGTTAAAGAGGTTATTTATTACGGTCATTGGCGTGATATGTAAATGGACCGTCGACAATTCGTTAAAAAAATGTTTAGAAGAAAATCGATTAAAATTTGATTTATGTTACCACCGTAATTGATAATTGGTAAATTTATCCGCAATAGGTTGTTTATGTTTTTTTTTCGTAATTAGCCAACATAACTGGTTGTTCACTTTCCAATTTTACTGCGGACGCTCCATTTGTATAGCAATTAATGATTAAGGTGTAGGTGTACCTCATTTTTGGTAGTCTCTGACTAAAAGGGCCAAACGAAAAACGATCTCTTTACGACCAATTAGTTTATTTGTAGGTTGTTTAAGTATGCTGCCATTGTTCTCCCGTTGGTTTTTTTATCTTTGTATGTAATAGGTATGGTATTGTTTGAAGTTGCTACGTCTTGCGGATATAAACCAAGTCAAGCTATTTCATTTACCTAGAACGGGGCAAATACTCCATTATTTTAGGAATGTAGTTTAGTGGTCTCAGTTTCGCTCTCTTGTGACTTCGATTGGAAAAATGTATTTTATCCATTAATTAATTCATTAAGTTAATCACGAAAAGGGAATACAAAAACGAAATCCTATACATGTTTCAGTCAAACTAAATGAAAAATAACCTTCACCTTATTGGTGAAACCCTTTAATTTAACTAATAAAAATTCATATTATTCAATCGATCACTTGCAGATAATTGCATTTAGACAAAAATCTATTTAATCCGAAAGATGTAGCGGCTTGTCCATACACAAACAAGTAATCACTAGGAAAACATACCAAAACGTTTAAATAAATCTCTAACTTTAAGATTCTAAATTTTATTAAATTGTGTATTCTATTGAAGTTAATATTTCCTACACTGACTGACGTGTAATTTTTTTTACGAGCTCATCGGCGTATAGCTACAGCCTCGAATACAAACAAAACAAAGATGACAAATATAACAAAGAATACCAAGGTGAGTTGTATTACTTGCGATAACTCCGACTGCTGTTTCAAACATTTCCTAAAAGGTTGTGATAAACCTTTGGACCGGAAACTCCATTGGAGGGTTCTAAGCATGGGCCATTAAATTTCTCCAATTCTAGTTTCGAAGGAATTGCAAAAATACGCTGTTAAGTAATAGCTTGTTATTCTCACTAGCTTTAGTTCCGTATTTTTAAAATATTTGTTATTTTCACTTCAATAACCAAAAATGAATAGGGAGGATATTTTATGAATCGAAAAGTGAAAGTTCGTTTATTTATGTATTTATTTTTTGCTGCATAAGCAAAATTAATTAAGCGCTTGGACGTATCAGTGTTTTAAAGTAATATAAAGGAATTATGTTGCATGTTTTATCGTCAATAAACTTCCTCAAGAAAATAGGATTTGAACAGGAATATGAAAAAAAAAATGCTGTAGCTATATTCCCACGAGATCGTAGTTGTTTATAAAAAAATAACACATTATAAAATATTCTTCGCTGCTGCCTGTTAGTTCTAGCAAAGCTCTAAGAAAACTATTTTCTCATCGGGAATGCAGATGCAAGAAGTCGCTGCAACATTATTCTATAAGTTTCTCTTTTTGTTCCAAAAAGAACTTGTCGATTTGTGTTTTGTTGCCTAGCGCAGTAGGTAATGGTAAATAGCTAGTTTATTAATCAGTTATTGTTTTAGCATGAGTATATATGTATTTATAACGAGTGAAACAGTCTTTTAAGAAACTACCTTTTCGTGACGGCCGGTTCACACTACAATACAATGTAAATTTTGATCAAATGTGATTCATAAAACTCTAATTCGGCGCTTCTTTAGTATTTATATACAATAAGAGGCGATGTATTTTTAATTGTTATTCTGAAAGAAAATTTATAATCATTTTAACGTTATACGAAAAGTAAAAAAAAAATGGATAAATCATCTCCAATTGTGATAATAGAAATATTGAATTATTAAAATAGATTTTACAATGATTATCATCACTTTCAATGTCTCTCGGTTATTGGAAACGATTATTAATGTTTATATAAACAAATTAATTCTTGTTAAGATTATATTATTATTTGCGCGTCTCTGTATTTTAGTTTAATTTAAAATTGACATTATTCTTATTGTTGTTGTTATAAGTTTCTTAAATAAGACTGACATAATAAAAGCATAAACAGTACTGTCGTATTTAATTTGACCAATTTCTCTGAAAGTATTCCTAGTTTACCTTATCATCTCGAAAAATTGAAATATTTTTGTCGCTATTTGGTTTTTTGGTCAGTCGTATTAAGAAAAATCGGATAAAATTCAAACTTTACTGACTTTTGTTTTTCATCTTGAAGGGGGAGTGAGGAATCACTTAAATTAAAATAATGCAATATGGGGCAGAGGGTCACAACAAGTTCATTCTGAGGAAGAAAATCTTACAAACTGACATTCGAGGACTTTGTCATGGTAGTTATTTCTAGGGTCGAAAGTCTAAAACTATACAGATATACTTTTGATACCATAGATAAATAAGTAAATTTTGCTGCTACCATAACTGTTTTTTATTTTGTTTTAAGGAAACTACTGCTAGCATTAACATTAACCATTTTGTAAATATGCTTGACCGAAACACTTTTTATTTAATAAAGATGCAGTTTGTAAAGGCTGTTGATACAATGGCACGATAGTTATAATTTTGCTACTCCCTCTCTCTCTAACAGGTCCGCGATTTCAAAATTTTTAATATACTTTTGATAAGTGGTGAGAAATATTTTTTCTAACGCTAGCAATTTTTTTTTTGAATTTCAAAAATTTTCAAACAAAAATCTTATGATATTTCCAGAAATTCATAACTGTTCACCAGAAAATTGCATTTTTGTTATAAAATCTACTCTTACCCTAGGAATATATATAAAGTCACTATTTGCAAATCTTCTGGATTGCTTCTGCGTCGGTTGATGATGAATCGAACTTGGTGACGTTTCACCAATCATATTGTTGGCGTTTTCAGAGCTTAATTGAATCTGTTCCAGTTACCTGGAAGTTTACCTGTGCAAGTTTCTTTGAAAACATTATAAAAGTTGTTAAAATACCAAGAAACTTCTTATGCAATTTATTCTATACGCAACATATTTGAATTTGACGTAATTGACCTGAAAAATATTTTAATGAAATTTTCGATACCGTTAACAAAAATATTTTTATTTTTTAAGACACCATTATCATGCCCATGGTCTTCGCCAAATGGTGGATGCAATATTTCCCTAGAGAAAAATCAGGAAAATATTCGGCTCAAATTTCTTGTCCATTTAAATTAAAATGTTTCAATTTTTGGTGCATTTTAAGTACGAATGCATTTTTATTTTTTCAAAACTTCTTTTTATTAATAGACTGGTATCACATCTAGGAACTATTTTATTTTAATTGAAAACAAACGCAACAAAATTGATAACAAACCAATTAAAATTAACAAATAATCAATTCGTTAACATCGACTAATTTCTTTAATCAAATACCCAATTTATATAGGAAATTCGAATCAAATGTTTATTTTTGCCATCTCTTTCATTTGTTGGTTTACATTTCGTCTTATTGCTTGCACTTGCTCAGTCGATCCCGATGCAATATGCTAATCGATTCCTACTAAATTAACAGTCGAGTTTTCTTATTTCGAGTGAATTTCCATTATCGAGTTTCAGTTTCAGCTGCGGCGGATTTCCATCGTCAAACGAGTTTCCTGCATCTTAAATGCGTTTAAATTATTAAATGCCGACGTCTTGTAATAGTATTACCGTCAAAATATTTGCATTCGATTGCTGGATATAAACTTTTCAGGATAAAACACAAATTTTTTGGGTAGTTTTCGGTCTCTTCAATACTTTGAATAACTTGACAAATACCTACAAATATATTTTTTTTTCTTTAGTTGCAACGTGTCAATCATCTATCAAATGCGGTAGTTACCACGCAGAATGCTACTAGTATAATTAAACTGCTGTGTCTTATTGCTTTGCACTATGTTTGCGGCTATGATCCTTTGTGGCGGTGGAAAGTCCGGCTCTGCAAGAATAAACGTTGCGGTTAGTTGAAATAACTCACTTTTTTAACGTACCGCAGTTGTTTGAGATTTGAATTCCGCTGATCCTAAAATTCGCCCGGTTACTTTCAAGCGATGCCAGATTATTTTTCTGATAAACAATCACTTTGTCGTTCGTGAAGTTGTGTAATACTGAAAAAAAATAATGTAAAAGTAATGTGCGCATTTTTCATGGAATAAAAATAATTCGAGTTTTTTTTTGAATTTTTCAGAGAAACTTCCACAGACTACTTATAATACTGTTGGCTTCTTCAGAGCTTGACTGAAGAAGACAACAGGATGATTGGCGAAACGTCAGCAAGTGCGACTCAGCAAAAACCGACGCAGGAGGAATTCAAAAGTTTTGTAAAAAGTATAATTGGAGGTGTCGGTTGTGTTAAATTCATGTTGCTTTAATTGGGTTAATTAATTTAATTGGAATAACATGGCACTTTTTTATTATATGAATCGAAATATTTTTCATCTCTTTACAAAATTTTTATTATTGAAGATTTTATTATATTATATATTTTATTATATTATTTGTTTTACTGGGCACATTGTGACACATTTGTGACTAGTGCAGTTTTTTATATATCTGGTATTTCGTATAACAATGATATTATTTTTTAATGGTTTCAAATCTCACATCTGCAAAATTGGAACACAAACTAATTCTCTTTGTACCACTTCAAAATGAGTTAAAATGAGAATTTCGAGGCCGCTGTATGCCATAACCAGAATTTATATTAAAAGTATTCCGGACTGTACTGTACGGTCTGGCGGTCTATGCGACAAAACCTTAAAAATGGACATTCAATATTCGCCTGCAAGTGTGATTCCCAAACTGGCTTTCAACCAAAAAGAACGTTTATTTCAAATCTCGCTGTCAACAAAACTAACCAGTTCATAAATTCGATAGTCCGTAAGTAACCTTTTCGGAAATATTTTTTCAAAACATGCCCAGACCACATTAAAATTTTAGGAAAAGAACTGGGTGATTTAGAGCCTTTATATTATATGATACATTTATATGGTTAACATAATACATTTTGCAGATAATGAGTTTAAATGGAGATGATTAAGCCAAGCTTGTCAAATGTAAAATACAAAAATCGTTAATTATTTAAATAAATTTTTGGGATTAACATATATAAAAGAAGTCTAATCTGTATTATTTTCAGTTTATTAATTACAAAACTTTTAAAAATAATAACCAATAATAACTAATTTTATTTTATGCCACATTTAATATAATTAATATTTCATTCAATTTAATAAATTATCGAGGAAAGCCAGGTTCGATTTTTCAATTCAAGTCAGTGATCATGATACAACAATAAGATTACTTTGCACGCCATACGTTAAGGTGAAAAAAAAAGTGAAAAAAAAATCAAATTTTTATCAAGTATTCAAAAGATCAATTTTACACTTATCGACAAATGGGTAAGTAATTACTCACTTTACATTCACAAATTTTCAATCTCTCTCTTACTTATGCCCACCGGATAGTAAACGATTTAAACGACTGGCAGTAACAAAACTCATAATTTTCTCTTTTTACTATTACACAGTTAACGTAGTTTTAGTTTTAAGGTGAATAGATCGCAAAATTTCGTTTGTTACTTACCCCGTTGTCCAGTCAGTAGGCCGCAATAGGATATCCCATCGACAACTATTTTCTCGGCTGCGCACTTTGTATCAAAATATTCGAAAAGCAGTTCTAACTTACACACGTCCTGAAAGTCATCGGCTTTTTAACGATAGTTGACAGTTGAAATTACATTCAAAAATGATGCATATTTCTTATTGAAAATGATTTTATCACAAGACAATGGCCTAGGAAATTGTTTCCGTCGACTATTTTAAACAATTAAAGAAGAATTAAATTCTTGAATTTAAAATTGAAAAAACTAGAATAGACTTTCTTTTCAAAGGTCACATTTCTTCCTTTAAATGTCATTTCAAATTATAAATTTTTACCTACATTGGATATCCGTTTTAACGTGTAGTTACACGAATCTAATATGTCATATCCCGATAAAATAAATGATTCTTGCCGGATAATTTTTTCACACTGATTGGGTACTGATTTCGGAGTGTGATCTCCATCTGAATTCCAAGGAGGATTTGCGGGAGTAATTGGATAGTACGGATCCTGACACGGGATTTGTCTGTAAATTGCCGAAAACCCTTTCCGACAACAGAACAAATTCGACACAAACCTCATTTCCTGGTAGGGGCGTTTTTGAACGTTTAGTATCGCTGAAAAGAATTCATTCAAGAATACTTATACATATATAAATACTTATACGATTTTATTAATGTAAGTCACGTTTCGTCCTAGTCACAGGTACGAGTCACAAGAACAGATTTTAGTTATAAAAATACAGTTTCATAGCGGAAAATATTTCCTACATCAAAAAATAATTTTATATTAAAAATTATAAAAAATTGATTTTTTTTATTGGTTTTAAGTCTGCTCCTTTAGTTCTCGTGTATGAACTTTATAAGGCAATTAATGAATTCCCTACTTGGAAATTTGTAGTTATAACAAATATTGTGGCATTTATTTTTAACTGACATTTCAGCTAAATTATATTATTCAGTTCGATTACAATTATTTATTTATTAAATACACTTTAAAACCTATTTTCTCCAGGCCAGCAAAGTGCGTAATAAAATAATATAATATATCATACACAAATTAAGAAAAAACAAGATATATTAAATTAAATTAATTAAACAACTTACAAAAAAACTTTAAAAAGCGTATACTTTTTGTTTTTTGTTTATATGCTTTGTGGAAAATAAGTTTGTAGGCCATGGTGACTTTTGTAAAATTTAACTAACTACGCCAAACACGGCCCCCTCGCAATGAAGGGTCCATTTTGTAATTGCGTAATTATTCACTATTCTCGAAATTTATTCAAGAGCGCACCGTATGATTAATCAACCCAAAATTAACCAAAACTGTTTAGCTACAATATATTTCCGTGGTCATTTACTTATGGAAGTAGCATAATTTTCATTGTTATGTATACCAGTGGTATCCTTCAGTTGATTCCCGCAGTATCGATACTTATTTCCAAATGATAAATATCCGTTTCCACAATTATTACTACTCTGCGGCATGTCAAATTCTTTAAAAGTCAACTTTATCTCGCAATAACCAGGCTGCGTCTGAAACCTAAAACATATCAGTTAATTTCATATAGCAGTCAACTTTTTTGAACATTACCTATAACACGAATTTTGTCTGCCCCAAAACGGCCACATGTTCGCAATCTTGCCGGCCAGGGAATTCAAAATTACACAGTTCTTTCCGTAAGACATCTCGTTGAAACTTTTGCAATCGCTATTAAAACTTCCTCCGAATTTGTTACTTAAATATATCAATTGCTCTTGGTTCCACTCTGCACATTTCTGATAATTGTACACGTTGGACAACAAAGTATTTATAGAAAATGTATCTATGTAAGTGGATTTTTGAGGTTCCATATTCAACCAAACGTCATTCTCTTGCTTCGGAGCGAACACGTAAACGTGTCTAAATATGCTTGCCAATCCTTCGTGTGTGTTGGTGTCGGGTGAAAACAAGTCACTTTTTTCATGCACCAGCTGGAGTTGCTCAATATTAGGCCATCGACTTTCGTGGTATCCTTTACTAACCGAACCATCCTCTGGTAAGTATCGTTTTGGACATTCGTCTTGAAAAACTTCTAGGACAAATCCAGAGATTGTGTTTAATTGTGACCCGAATACTCGAAAATTGAGTATTTTGTGGTTGGAAAATCGAAAATTAGACGTTAGCTTTACGTCCGCATTACAACCGCAGATATATTTGCCATCTATCTCCAAATACCCGCGAGGGCAACCATTATACGAGGGCTCGCCAAGCCAGAAAAACAACGCGTGAATCCTCAACCTGCAGACGTTTTCGTTATTTTTTGTTATGACATACGAACAGTCTTTTTCAGCGTCTATAGAATGTGGAAAATTCGGACTAGTTATAAAAAATCGTTTGGAACTAAAATTGTTGTCGTTACAGCATCTGGTTAATGTGATTAGGGATGATACCGTTGTGGTAGTGCTAACCTCTTCTATTTCACACCCCAACCTTTTCACAAAAATTTGGAAACCAGTACCGGCGACTGAACCCGGTTGGGAAATAAATTTCAATTTCAAGTTCCCGTTTTCGGCTAAATATATTTTGGTGCCGTTTTTCGATCCGCACAAAGCGTCTTGGTTTCCAATCTCTAGCCTCTCACCGGTACAACCGACGGAACTTTGGATATCGAAGTGGACGAATTCGAATTTAAAGCGGGTTGTACAATTATCGCCTTTCAATAGATAGAAGCAATTTTGGTTTGGTGGGTATTGCCCCGGGTAATTGTCACTAGTTATGATGAACTCATCATCGGAGTATATTTTTCCGCAACCGCTATTTGGGTGTCCCTCGGGAAGGGGATTCGAACGGACTCCCAGAACTGAAATAAATTGGCTTGAATATAGTTTGTGCTAACGGGCAAACTAAATTTCATTCAAAATTCGTTGATTTTTTGTTGTTGTTAATTTATTTGTTTTTAAATCACGTTTCTTTTTGAAATTTTAGTTTTTGTTACATCTGATATGGCCTGATTTAAATATTCATTACATTGTTGAACAAAATTTTTACATAGTCTCAAAACAAAATTTAATCAAACAAAATAATTATTTTTGCGAATCTATCTTTGGTCGATGCACTGGCATATTTTAAAAAACAAAAAATGTTCTTATTTACAACAAAATAAAGGAGAAATGTAAAAACTGTTGTCCTAATACTTACCGATAAATACGAGAAAACAAACTAATTCCATTTTACGGTTCGTCTTAGAAGTACCGAACATAACTGATCATTACTTTGCGATGGCAAAAAAAGTCTTGTTAAGATGGTAAACAAAGGTAAGTACGAGACCGCATCCTCAGGAAACTAATATTACTCAGTTACAATATTTGATGGCGAGAAAGATACGCCAACTGCGACCAAATACCGTGACTTAATGACCTGACTAGATAAATTACCAAAAACTCGTTAATTTTTATGAGATAATTTTAAGAAGGATATACCATTTTCTTTCGTCATTGTTGAAACCTTTAGTTTTATTGTTGTGTGTTATTTTATTCAAGAGCGAGTTGTGTGTGATGGGTGCAATTAAAGTTATTTAGTAATTTATGCACTTGGGAATTGCCAAAGATTTCAGTCCAAAACTTTATAAATTAACATTACGTTACAACACATGATTTAGTTCTTCGTAATACTGTTGCAGCTTTGATTAAATGTTAGCCCACAGTGGTATTTTGTCCGGACTATATGGGGAATTTTTGCATGACTTATTTTGGCAATGTTTCACTTCATCTCTTTTTTGAAGCATACAAACATGACGTTTCCCCTTACTAACCGTTAAAATTCCAAGCTAGCTGCGGCGGAATTATATGCAATGGGTAATGTCCATTTTTTCTTGACATCAAGTGTTTGATCTTTTTTTTAAAAATAATTAAGCTCCAGTTTTAAAACTGTTAAATTTGCATTTATTTTCAATGACTCTTAAATACTCATGTTATTGAAACACCATTAAAATAAAAATTTTGACTAAATATTGAGTGGAATGGTTTGTGTATTTACAAAAATGAAGGTAATTTTCGATATTTTTCTTGGTGACACATTGATTATCAATATGGGTGTGGCTAAAACCAACTTACGTATGCCGATAATCACCTTCATAAGTCGTAGTAAAAGTAGGTGCTTTTTACTACGATCGAACGCATTTCTTTTTGCTATTTTGCTTTTTCATGGATCATGTCGAATACAATTTTTCTATTATTTGATGGATTTTTGTTTAAAGCATTTCATTCCAAATTGGTCAGTGTAAAACGTAACACAATGAAATTGTACTCGCCCTAAATAAAGTAATAACACTTAAATCAAAAATAACAATATTATTCAGTTATACTATTTTGTCGCTAAAATTGTCCAGAACTTTCCAGAAATTACAAAAAATATACAAAATTACAAAAATTTGCTATATTTTATTGAATATGGAACAAATAAATTCCAAGAATGTTCCCAAATTTCGCAAATTTTTGGTTAAAAATTTAGCACCTTACACATCTTACTTCACGAGATTACTGCATCCCAAACTCGAAGAGACCAAAGCCTGTTAAAGATTGTCTGTTCTTTTGATGTCTCGAACCTTTCGCACAGTGGTGTATTTTTATAAAAGGTCTTAGCTTCTTAGCTTTGTGGAAATTGAAAAGTATTGAAAAATTTCATGATTTATCAGTTTAGATTTATGAGATATCTTTTGGTTAGTTCTATATATATCTATAGTTGGTTAGTCAACTCTTTTGTATGGCAGCTGTTAAGTTAAACCAGAGCACAAAAATCAGCAGCAGAGTATATTTTTGCTGAAGGATATTGTTTCTAGTATATAGCTTAGCTGTAGTATATGTCAAGCGTTGCTCGTAAGTCAGAGTCCAGTGCAGATTTAAATGTAGGTATTTTGTTATCAAGACGGACTCTCAGTTCTTTGTTTGCTTCGTTTGCCAGTCTGTTGCTGAGATGGAGAAAAGTAACCTTTTGGCCGAAGTTTTCATTTATGAAAATATTTTGCTAGGTTGTTCACTTCATTTGTGAGTAATTTTTCTCTTATTTCCACACTGTTATGTTGCCGGCCTAGCGCTCATTCATCCTCATATCCAAACTTTTTTGATTCTGTCTGAGGCATGCAGGAATGTAGTGCTGAAAAGTAATGGAGCCAGCATCGATCCTTAACCTCCATAACCCATAATCACTTCGAAATGTCTACTGTTAAGCATTTCATTTAGCAGATTGGCCATCTGCAGACAAGTTTGCACAAATTTAGAGGTTAGACCTTGTCACCATACATCGTTAGATCAATGAAGGATGTTCTTGGATTGAAGATTATTTCTTCAGTGACTCAATAGAACTGTAGTTTATAATTACTATTTCTTTTTTGATACTTTCTTGATAACCACATCTTTTTGAAGTATGTCACAAGATTTTTGCCCTCCATAATAGTTTGAAAATCAACATAGTAACTACAATGCTAACAAAAAATTCAACTCCCACAATTTAAACCAATTATAAAATAACTCCATACTGCTTTCCATATCTCTCGTGACGAGACCGTTTTTTCTCTGTGCTGTTCATTCGACATTCGCGACGTTGTCAAATCACTTCAATACAGAGGGTAAAAATATAAAAAGTATTCGTCGAGGGGTTTCGCCTGAAAAACTAACAAAACCCTGATTATCGAATGTTTTTTTTTCTTAATTTCACTAGGAAATAAAATTACTCAGATAAATATGTTACATTGGCTGTTTTCGAAACTCACCGACGGAGGACGAGCGGGAATTTAATCAAGTTACGATCTGCTTTTGCCGTCCGCTCCTAAATTAAAATCAGCTACGTGAGCAGATACAATATTGGGCGCAGAACTAACTGAATTTTGAAATGAAGTTTTTTGATCAATTGGGGGAAAAATTTAAAGGCATTTGTTAGGTATTGGTATTTTTATTTAGTAAATAACACATTTCTTAGGCTTCGTAGAAATTTTAACTCAAATAAACACATCCGAAGCCAATTTTGTTTAGCGATAAGTTCTACAAAGACCTCGGCAATATATTTTTGACAATCCATAACATAAGTTTGTTTTTAAATTCGTATTAAAATTAATTTATAGTAATTTAGAAGGCTAGAAAGTAATTTAGAGAAATTTCGTTAATTATTATAGTATATATATATATATATATATATATATATATATATATATATATATATATATATATATATATATATATATATATATATATATATATATATATATATAATTGATTATAATCAGAAATATATACTTTTATGAATGGTTCCCAAAGTACCCGGGAATGACTCAAAATTTACGAGCTGGTAAGATTTATGGTGGTAATGTCCCATGGTGGTTTGCTAACGTCGAAATAGTCGCCTCGAAAATATAATCGCCAAACAAATTGCTTCGTGTCTATATAAAAAGACATCTAACGAACTTAATTAAAAGAACATCAGTACACTTAGAGTTTGCCGTCGACGCGAATAATAGCTCCCCAAACACATCGGGATATATTACACTTAAGACCGTTATTACAGTTTCCAGTCACGTTCGACGGTGACAACTGCCTTATTGCCTTCAGCCAAGGAATCGTATATTCGTAAACACAAAAGTGGCCGGCCTCTTCCTATTACAGAAATCGACAAACTGACCTCTCTGGCCGTTCCGTTCGCCATGCAGTGCCATCAGAAGACGAAAAACGTCATCTTTCTTCGGGGTACATACGTAAGACGGCTCATATCTACAAATAAACACTTATTAAAGGGTCCGTGAAAAATGAAAGCCATAAAAAAACATTAGGACGGATCGCGCTGCGATGTGGGTTTCGTGTCGAAATTTTGCCGTTAATCTTCCTCAAGAATGCGAAGTTTTTTACGGTCGCGTGACTGAGCCTCAAAGAACGACTAGACGGGGATCCCCGATCTCTAAACTCTAATTTTCGCCAACATCTTGTATTCATGTATTATGTGAAAAATTAATACACATTATTCAGACCCCGCTGCGCATCATAAAAAAATAAAATAAACAGAAATTGCGGTCTGCTTTCACAGTTTCAGGGTATGAGGAGCTCATATCATTATCCGCTATGGCTGGGATTTTGCACATATGATTTAAATCGTGTATTTTTAGTTATACAAGATAGTATAACGCCTTTTTTTTGAAATTTCAACCAGATTACACCGTCAATATTTTTGTTGTATCTTAAAAAAATTGCTGAATTAATATTTTGTGAATTTTAATTTGGCACTTTCAACAATTTTCATTCTTTTTGTATCGGTATAAGTAGTTTTCATTTGTAACCGACTTTCAATATGGCGTTAAAATTAAAATAAATAATTCAATAAACAAATATTTTAAAACAAAATTGAAAAAACAATATTTCTATTGTTTGCATTTGCAAAATATAGTAAATTAACTCGTCTATCGCATTTAAAATGAATGAAAATGAAAGCCAAAAACAATTTTTAAGCGTCTGGTGTACCACCCGAACAATACAATTTAAAAAACCGCGGCAATAAGGACGAGATAGCAGATAAAATGAACTTGATATATTACTTCGAAAAAATCGGTAAAACGTGTATTATAAATTAAAGTATAAATTTGGCGTCAAATTTTGCATCAAAAATTTCCTTTCGCCGAGTGTTCGAAGTGTTTTCGGAGCGCGAGCATTGAAGATGCCAAGTGAGATTTTGGCGAAACGTCTGCAGGATTCCAGTCGGAGTTCAACAAGCGAACGGATGATATCCCGGAATATAGTGTCATCATATATATATATATATATATATATATATATATATATATATATATATATATATATATATATATATATATATATATATATATATATATTACTTTTATTTGAGTTTTGACTCTATCGAAGCTTGTCATCCGGGATTTAAAAAAAATAAAAAAAAAGTACAGAAGAAATATTTAATATGTTTTTGTTCTTTATTTTATTTCACTTACTTTAGGTATGTCAATATTCTGCTTTAATACTGACAGTGTAAGTGGAATCTGATTTGCAGTATCCCAATCTTGTTAACGAGGATTAAAATAATTTAACAGGTATGTGAGCAAAAAGATACAGTCGACGTCCTACGTGAACAGTCATAGTTGTCATTGATCGAGAAAATCTAATGTAGAGGCGATCACGTTAATTTTTATGGTATTTAAAAAGAATACCTAGTTTTTTTTTAGATTTTCGTACTTTTATTTTAAGATTTCAAATATAATTAAAGTTTTTGGGGGTATTCAAAGATATATTTATGGGTACTTATATATATTATAGAGTCAATTTAAATTGAATTAAAGTCTGGACCTGTGCTCAACGAGTCGGAAAAGATAACAGATGTCACAAACAAACTTTTATTAATGTTAAATTTTTGGCTTTCATTTGTTCTTCGTATTGCGGTACTAATAAGGGAAAAACGGATTTACGACTGGTCATTATAATAGTGTCTTACCTATTATTTTGCCTTTTCCAAGGATATTTTCTATAGTACCTCGTTCGTTTCGCCCTGAGACCCGGATCTTCCAGCTCTAAGGTCCCTCCGTCACCCACGTCGTCCAATTCTGATCTTACTACTTGATCGTCGTCCTTCTCAATATAGAGCAAGGGACTTGATCCCTCGGGCCATGGCACAAGGAGTAATTTGGTTAAAAACATCCCTACTCTATCTAGTTGTTCTTCGTCTAGAACAATGTCCGGCAAATCTGCGTAATAAAAGCGTATAGAATTGAATTGTTCATATCCGTTGTCATTTAGAACCCACCTTCGACATTTTCCAGACTTTGTTCAGGGATTTCATTGGAATTGGATAGTAGTACGTTGTTCTGTCCAGTTGCTCCTGGCAAACTACGTATTGTGAGAAAAAATATTAAAGCTGAGGTGTAGCCTAACATTCTTGCTCGGTACGAACGCATCTGTAACCAAACATTAGCAGGTTGGTACAAGACTTATTGCTTCCATACTATGTTAGGTTTGATATAAACACATAAAAACCAATTAACAACAAAATAAATTGCGAAATTCTTACTATAATTAACCTTCACCTACTTCAAAGCTACCCCTTATGTTTTATTTTTTATCGAAATACTTTTTTACTCATTATACTTGAAAATTTCCATGGGAATTGCGTTTTCAGTCCGATATTAATTAAACAAAAACCATTTTTTTAGGAACCTGCTTTAATTTATAAAAAGACCTCGTATCCTTTTACCGTCACAGAGATTTTCATGCTGTGCATCATTGATGATGCTTCGGCGTCCTTGGTGTTGAAAACTTCGGAGGAATTGGCACGATTCGCATCGACTTTGAAAATGTCGTTCGAAAGTTATTTGTTTCTGTATAATCAATTTGGCAGAAATTTCATATAGCCCCTCGCAAAAACACCTCGGATCTACATTATTGTAAAAGTTTTATCATATTATAAAATGAAATGGCTTTTAAAGTATATCAATTTTACTCGAAGACTTCAAAAAAGTAACTACGGAAATTAAATTCGCTAATGCGTGGGAATGTCAATTCTAGAAAGGTTTGTCAGATTCAAATATTTTTGATATAGGTCTGTGTGGTTCTTAATTAAATAAATATTAAATATATTATTTTGAAATAATTTCCTACCAAATGAATGTATTTTTTTGAGATATACTTTTTTTGTGGAAATTATGGTTTCGGATGAGTTAAAGGTACCACTTCTCTATGTCCACCTGCAACGAATCTAAATAAATTTATCCGTAGAATATTTTATAAAATTACGCCAACCTGGAAAATTATAAGCTGTCGAGAGTGTCGTACCGCTTGCCCACCTCGAAAGTTAACGAGATTAAATTAACATTGGCAAAACTAAACATTATTCAGATATTTGCATATTTTAAATTCCTAACAAGGGCAGATTATATTGCAAATAAAACTTTTTTGACAAGCAGAATAGTTAACTTGTGACCAAATCGTATTTAATCTTCTTATATATTACTTACATAGTTATTTATTTATCTATTTCAGTGATTTAAAAAAATGAAGTTATTCATAATACCCGTAAATAGGACAGGAACAGAAATATAGCACCTGCAAACTGATTGTGCAGTAGATATCAAAAATTATCGTATATACCTGACCATTTGCTCTGTACCATATAATTCGATAGTATAATGACACACATTATATACCGAGTGATTCATGTTGAAGTTCTCGGGAACTGATGAAGGGAATATGGTTTTCCGATAAGTTTTCCAAATTTGGTTAGTTTTCGGAAACAAAAACACTAATTAATATTATTTTGTTACGACATTACTATGTAAGTGAGCCAAAAAACATTTTTTTTATTTTACCTGTTATAACGGCTACAAATTACATTAGGTGAATGTTAGTAACTTTGCATATACAAATATGTACAGTGTGTACAGTTTATTTCATTTTTTTGGTTTAACGCCGTATCTCCCGTATTGAAATGGTACAAACAGAAATGTCATAGCTATCTTGGATTGTTAGATACAGGGCGATTTTGAAAATTTTGCATTTTTAGACATTCTTGTTTATGCGTGTCACTTATTAAAAAGTTGACAAGTAACTAACTCTTTGTGATAAATTATATAATTAATGTAAAAAAAAATCTGTATTTGCCACGGTCTACTAAAAAAAAAGGTACTTGTGTGTGTATATTTTTGAAAAACTTAGAAAATGCCTACTATTATTTTTGTTTGTAAGTTTTAGTAAGAAACGCTATCCAGACCAGCTACAAAGAGTGTCTAAAAATGCAAAATTTACAAAATTATCCTATATCTTAAAAGCCCAAAACAGCTATTCAATATTGTGCAAGTGCAATTCTTATTTTTTCAAATAAATTATCCTGCTGCCGGTTTGGTTGTGGAGATCTCTGGATATAAATAAAAATATTTTTATTGGGTGTGTATTTAAAAACAAGTTAAATACACCAAGTTTAAAGGGCTAATAAAATAGTGGTTCTGACAATGTAAATCGAGGCGCAGCATTTTATTATCGATGTATTAGTGCGTTTTCTGTTTCGCCATCGCTTTCTGATAATTTTTGTATAATTTTTCCTCATATCATTGGCGGTTTTTGGGAAATCAATTATTTTCTTTATTTGAAAACATAGCTCCAATAAATTGTTTATTACTGCCATGTTTGACCTCGGTGAAAGCTGAAATTTTGACGATAATTTATCAAGCGCACATATAAATATCCGAAAGTATTTTATAATTGTAATTTGAATTGCAGGGTGAATTTTAAGCATATATAAGCCCATATTGTATTTATTTAAAAAACTTTTTTTCTCGTATTATGTCAAGAACTGCCTTTTGGTAGAAATGTGAACGCAAGATAACAAGGAAAGCCCTTTTTGACCACTATGAGTTTATTAAAATGTGTAATAGACAATTATTTTCTCTTGGCCGATTGACTCAACATTTTTGTCTGGATGATTCGAATTCACAATTAAATATATGGAGTGTTCATTTGGATTTGACTTCGGCTATCTACTATTTAGAATATTATTATTGTAGGCGTAATTTGGAAAAGTTCCATGTGGTTTAATTCTCCGTAACTTTTAATGGGGGACTCCCCTGAATAGACTCTATTATATCTAATTCGGAGCGACGAAATTGCATACGTTTAAAGCAACCCAGTGACATTTTTGAACAATAGGGGCTACACATACGGTAGTTAACATAGACGCCATTTTATCAAACTTCCGTAATTTGGATGCAGTAATTGTTTGTACGGTTAACGACAAGTTATCGCGTAGAGTAAATAGATATTCATACGCTAGGCTTATTTCGCTCGTACATTTGGATAAAGTTTTCGTTAAAGGCCTTGCTCCACATAAATCGTATCATGAGTGTCAAATTTTCGATATAAGACAATTACATTTTCTTTACGTATACAGGTATAAAAGTAAGGACAAAACACAAAAGAAAATTGGCCACTAACATATGGCTAAACACGAAGCATTAGAGTACAATTTAAGTGTAAAGCAGACATGTTTCGAATATTCTGTCCCTAATGTCGTACCCTATAAAAATAAATAAATGAGAATTTAGCTAAAACAAAGTTTTAAACACACAGTGAAAAATACTCAAAACAAATAGAATTTTCTCCACAAAAATCGTGATTGGACGAAATTACGATTTTGTGCATTCTCTCAACTCTTTGACTCTTTTCTTGCTCTTCATGTACTTGCTTGTCATTTAATGTCGTCTGTGTCATTCGACCAACACAAATAGGTTTCACTTTATTTACAAATTTTGATTGTATTTTATTCAATAATTTATGTAAATAAACAATATTATTAAAGCCCGAGTTAAGATAGAACTTACTAAACTCTTTTACGGAAAACATCGGTTCCAAAAATTGACAACACCTATTTTTGTGTCTTTGCACGTTGTTGGACGGATGGTGAATGTGTGAGTGAATATATTTTAAATTAACAAGAAGGCACAACACCGCGTCAACTTAATGCACCCGAAGCCTTCCTGCTCAAAAAACTATTCAAGCTATCTATATCTATATTTTTAAATTTTTCACGCTATCTTTAAGTTCTAAAATGTCAACTATTGGCAGAACATAAAACGTTCTTTACATTCGGCATTAACCTTTTTTTTTATCACCTCTGTTTTTAATGATTAAAATAAACATTTATTACATAAGTTATCTCATGAAAATTATATTTAATAGTTTATCTGTGAAATACAAACCCTATTAAATTAAGCATTCTTAGCAAACGTTTCACAATTCCTAGAATAATATATTTTATATTATTTTACTGGTATTGACTTTCCGCACATAATTTAATTATTGAATTGAGATTGAATGTGTTTTTTCTAGCATTAAATATATTTTAATAATAATGATTTTGACATCAAAAATTCAAAATCTCGATTAAACAAATGACTGGTTGGTCAAGAAAGATAAAAAAATCCTGCTCGACTAATTAATAATATTTCAAAATATACCTGGTAATAACAAAACCAAGATATAATGAATGCATATAAAACAATTAAAATATATGTCTGTAAATAAAACTTTTGTATATTATATAGTCTCCCTTCTTATTTCCACTTTGTTTCTACTCTTATATATTTCATTATATGGTTTATGTACTTTATCTTTATTTTTCATTCACCTTTCATCCAATAGAATTAATTTATTCGTAAAACTTAGTGTCCAAAAAATAAGTTGCTACTTACCTTCATTCACAGGACGTCTTCACAAAACATTGAACCGAACTTAAACTAATTCAAGATTTACAGAGTCGCGCGCGAAGTTTCGAAATGTGCTGCTGAAAATTGGCACCCCTTTTTGAAGTCGTCGCAACCGCGCCAGCATCCACAGTGGTATTAAGCTTGGATAAAAATCCTTTATATACAGGGGGAGAGGGTTGGATGCGTCGTCGTGGGTGTTTCTCGAGCGCTTTTCGCTCAGATAGGGACGAGTTGATGCAACAAGTCGCGTTAAAAATCGCTTTTGCTTGTCGCCTGCAGAACGCCCATTACAAAATCAATTATTTTTACTCAACGAATCATTGATAGTTTAAAACACTCGGCGTGTTCGCGTATATGTCGGTATATGTAAAAAAACCCACAAACGCAAACCAAATAGAAATAATTTGTCGCATTTCCAGTATCCATCTAGTTTTAATCAGCCTGGAGGATATTGCCTAAGGTATTATAAATGAGAGGAGCGGATAAATATGCATTTTTTGTGTGTTTTGGTACAAAACGTTGCCAAATAAAGATCATGTCCAGCACTTTTCGACACGCCACGTCTTTATTAGTTTGTTACATTACCATTACACTACAGCTTGTTAAAAGGAAGATATATGTTGTTTGGAATAATAGAAAATTTTAAATTTCATAACTTACGAACATTAAGAACATTATTGGTAATTAATGTTAACAATTTTAAACTATTTATGAAATTTTTCCACACAATTATTTTATAGTAAAAAAAGACATTATGGTTTTTAAGTATAAGATGATTGCTGCTTTTATAAACTCAAGCAAATTATTGCAAGCTAATGTTAACAATCTGAATATATATTTCTTCTCAAATATTTTATTTTTTAGGTCTTTTAAAATTCGTTTTCTAACGAACGTAAACCTAAATTAGCTATTGCTTTTTTTAAAATTTACAGATTCATTCAGATAAAGAATTTATTGCGAATGTGCATTTGGTATGAGTTTTTCAAAGAAACTTTCACGGGTCAGTTTCAGTCAAGCTCTGAGGAAGCCAAGAGGATGATTGGCGAAACGTTAGCAAGTTCGACTCAGCAAAAACCAAAGCAGGTGGTTTGTAGAAGTTTTATAATAAATTTTTATAGTATTATATTATATATTATCTATAACTATATATATAATTTCAAAATAGAACATTTTCTTGAAGAATGAGTAAAAAACAGCGAACAAGCCCGGTCAGTGAAGACTTATGTAAGGCATTCTTTGGAGCCGACATACCACTTAAAAAACTGAGAAACCCCAATTTAAGCTCATTTTTGACAAAATATTTGCAAATTTAATATACCGAACGAGTCAACTGTAAGTATGGGATCAACACTACATTTACAAGCAAACTGTAAATGACATTAAAAAAAAAGGGGGAAAATTATTTTTATCTTGTGGTTGATGAAACAACTCATGGAAGGGAGAAATATTGCACGAGCATTGATTGAAGTATTAGGGGAAGCGAATGAATCCAATGATTATGGCTATTTAATTAGATTCAAACAATTAGAAGAAAAAACAATCATTTAAGTGTAACTAGATTTCTTCAAGAAACATTACCTAACTTTTTTCTTGCCCAACAGTGTTCGGATAGCAATATGCATACTCCTTTTATCGAATGCTGCAAACTCTATAGTAATTATATTTAAAAACTTTTTAAGGAAAATTGTTCAAATACTCAATTCAAATACTAGCTTGGTAAGCCGCTGCTATATTTTCAACAGTAAAAGAAAATGTAATATTTATAAAAACAAATTATTCTTTTGTAGCTATAGCACTAGTGAAATTAGAGACTACTCTGTTTTTTCGACAGATTTAGTGGCTTTAATAAATCAATTTGAGGTAGATTGCAAAAAAGTTTCAGCTACTATCAACGCGGCGGTTATTAAAAAAATTATGTCAGTATTGACAATAACACAGGCTTCAAAATTCTAAACAATATTTCAGAAATTGTTGTAGGCGATTTCACTAGTTTCGAAAGAGAACTGGATTTGTATAAATCAGAAACACATCTAATTCCAAAACAAAAATAATGTCCGATAACTTCTGTAGTTGAGCGAAGTTTTTTAACTTTTAAACATATGTATACAGGAAGAAGGCACAACTTACTCTTGGGAAATTTTGAAAAACATTTAGTTAACAATTTTTTTGTTAAATGAGAACAGTTTGTTAATTTACGAATTGTATGTTGTGCAAGTTGCTATTATGTGAAATTATTTTTATAATCTCAATTTGCTATGTAAGTGTGTGAACGTGTGAATATAAAAAGTTTTATTACTATTTTTTCATTTTTATATATTCAAATAGGTCTGTGGTATACGTAAAAAATTATAGGTCTTCTGAACAACGGGTTTAATTACAAAGAAATAGTTCTGGCTTTATTTAACGTTATTGTTCATGATTTTTGATATATTAAAAATTCTTATTTGCATTTGCAAAATTTGATGCATTGAAATGAGCACTTATTAGAGTTTTTCGTTTGCAGTTTTTCCGCTTCCTAATTATAAATATAAGATGAGAACTAATGGGGAAAGAGCGAAAGCTTAAACTTCAAAACGATTCAATGAAATAATTCTAGCGCTTTTAAGTCACATGATATTTGTTGAACGGGAACAGGAGGACGGGAAATTTCTATTTTATTCGACTCTTATTTTGTTTAGTCGCTTCCCATCAAGCGCTCGCGTAGTATGTGATCTCCAGAGACAATTTTGTACAAGATGAAAGTGAGTCCCACTGCTGAATATGATTTAGCAGCCACTTGTTCCATTATCCATTGAAAAAACTCTCTGCACTCAATGTAATCCGTTTGACTTTTGTAATCATAAATAATAATAGTAATAATAATAATAATCGCTTTATTTCTCGATAAGAAAGTTTACAGGGTAATTTGCGGATACAGAAGAAGGAGAATAAAAAAAATTTAAAACAAAACTTTTTCCGCCACAAGCTAATATGGACGAAAGTTAAATATGCATAATTCCTGGGAATACCAAGGCAGAGTACTTTGCACTTGTTCACAATATAAATAAGTGTAGAAAAGCTAGGATGCACTATTTCGCCTATCGACGAATAGTCACCGCCACATTTAAATACTAAAATTTGTATGAATTTTCTTTGAATTTTTTCAACGGTTTTCTAACATGGGTTCCAAATAAAAGATGCATACTCAAGCATTGGATGCACATATGCACATTATCCCTAAAATATTTGGTATTGGTATTAATGATATTAATAAGATCACTAAATAAGAGTTTGCTATGGAAATTTACTCCAACAACTTTTATCATATTTATCGTATTTATCGTATTCTATATTATAAGGGTGTAGAATAATATTCTTCTTTCTAGTACAGCTTACAACTTTATACTTATCTCTAAGTTTAATTCATTTGCGATGCACCAACTTTGCAGAATATGTATAAGTGGGAACAGTCGTTGACGACAGAAGCAAAGATACTGTCTATGGATGTCAAGTTAAGGTTTAAAAAATACGAAAATATTTCCACACAATACAGAGCTCTCAGCAACACTCCCACGCTTAAATGTGTCTAAAGATCACCAATTCAATCAATTTATCTTCTAGATTCATATCTTGGGTCAGTTTGTAATGCAGATTTATAACACAATTTTACAATTTTAAACAATACTTTTTATCTTCTATTTTTTGCTGAATTATCTCCATATTAAGGGTAATTAAATTGAGTGTTCCTAAAACAATGACTTTTTCCATTTTTCTTGGTTATAACAAATGTTGCTTTCAATTTTTATATTTTATTAAAAGTTAATTAACCTGAAATATCTTAAACAATGAAACCGTGGTCGTCTGTTAATGGAACATCCTTTAGAGACTTTAACCAGGCATCTATTACGCAGAAGCTTTTAGGGGCGTAAAGTTTAATCAAACGAAGCCTAATGTATTTGAAGCAATTTTCAACTAATTTAACCTCTTCGTAACGACAAGTTGTTGATGGTTTGAGATATCATTATAAACTTTATAGTTTTGGCAAACAAATCTCATGAAATATATTTTCAAGGAAAATTAAATAAAATGCTTGAAATGATAATTCCATTTCAAAAATTGTGTTTTTATTAGATTAAATTAGATGGATTAGATTTACAAACAAAAAATTCGCTCTTAAACAATACTAAAAACACTGTTATCTTGAAACCTAGAATTTGAACTCAGAAGCTGCAAAATAATTATCAACAATTTGTTTTCGTTACTTTGGGTAGAGTGCAAGAAGAAAACCTGTATTTTCAGAAGTATTTTTCGACCTTTGGCCAATATCCCCAAATCAAAAGACTGCATATTTTTTCAGTTCTGACTTCACACTAACCATTGTTTTAATTAGTCATCACTCTGGAAAAGTGTAGAAAGTAAACATCAGCTGGACCTGAAAACTGCAAAGCTGTAATGTAAATAACAATTGAATTTCAACGTACTTTTTGGAACTTAACTTCCAATGTAAATTAGGACAAATGTAGTATTGGTCGGTTTTTGCAAAAGTTGTCCAAACATAAACAAATTCGAGATTTTTCAACATTTTTATTATTTTCTTCCACCTTTTTTATTTGTTACTGGAATTATACAGATCCATTATTACAGTATAAAATATAAAATAATTAGATACATGCACCAAGCAAAGCGTTTTTAGAAACGATGCCTAGACTTGAGGCCATCGTTAAGGGCCCAGCATTTTACACTACATTTAATGCTTCTAACGTTATCCTATTAAGTGTGCACCCGTAATGGAGTATACTGTAATGCGTAAAATAGCAACGTGACCACTTTTTGGTGGCCTCTGCACACATGCGATAAGCGCCGTCTGGCAGTGGTTGACCTCCCTACTTTCCAAGCGCATCAAGTAATATCCACTAAGAGCGCGTCACTTTGTGGTTCTTTAGACTATGATAACATATTTAACGAACATGTAAATGTCTAAGTGAATGGTGTTATAGCTATTACATGATTGTAGAATATTATATTCTGTTTCCCTCATGGTACGAGATACAACCAAATTATCAGGTAGTTATTTCTGTAGTTCATATGTATTTATCTTTATTAATTTTACGAGTAGTATCTCTAAACCAAAATTTCTATGTTACAATGTACCAGTCACAACAAATTTTTAATAAACTGTAATCTGTCTCCATCTATTATAAGAAAATATTTATAATATCTGGAATCAGGAGATACTTGACAAAGGATGTACATTGTATCCTAGTTGTTTACTGCTAGTCGATGTTGATTATAACCGAACTCGCTTCTAAAAGTAAATACGTTATTTTCTGCAAGGTGAAATTAAATGTTACTCGCTTGAAACCATAATTACATCTGATCTATTTGCTCTACTAAAATGGTGGAATTTTTTATTATCGTTTCTTTCGTATATTCTATATGTTAGATGTTTTATGGTTAATGTTAGTTTACATCGCAAAAATTAATTAATTGAGAATATTATTAGAGCTAATATTTTATAAAAAATACATAATTATTTTGCACTATACTTATGTATCAACATAATATGTGCAGTTATAGAGGGTAATCTTCCCACTGAAATCTCTGGGGAGGATTGTTTATAAACCGCAAAACAAGTAATCCCGGAATTGGCCTGTTTTGAAGAAGTTATTTAATTTTTTTCGGGAAAAGCGATAAAAAAGTTTAAATTAGGTTGTGTGTGTGTAAACAAATACTCAAAAGTTTGAATAATTAAAGCAAAATGAAGATTACGCTCTGAATGAAAACGCAGATTTCCTGTCTTAGTATGCTAATATTTAAGCACGACACACAGACAATGCTATTTTCTTCAGTCTGAGTCCATCGGATTCATATTAGCGATTCATATTCGGCAATATCATATATAGTATACTATATAGTATTTTGTTTTTTCAGTTTGGATCATATATGTAAAAAAAAATCAGTGATTCGATCTAGTTAGGTATGTTGTCTACATCAACATTACCAACTATGCCACCGTTTATAATCCCTATTAAATAAATATTTACACATTGAACTCCTTATTTAGATTGTAAAAAATGTTTTTTTCAAGAAGTGTTCTTAAACATTAAGCGCATCTATTCATCGAAATCCTACGGTGCAAAGCTCTGAAACAATTAATTAGTAAGTAAGTATATCAAAATAAATGTGCAGCTTTTTGTTCTTGTACTAAAATTTGGAGGGGTCAACCAGCCATTTTCACCTACCATACGGCTCTGATAGTATCCAGAAACCTTTATTCAGCGTAATCTAGTAGCATGTAGAGTGACTCACACTTCTTGTCAATTATAAAAAACATATTTTTTAAAATAAAATACCCTGTAGCCACATTTTAATTTAAGGGGATTGAGTTAAATGCTAATATTCTGAGCTGGAAATTCTGGGGTATATGTATTTTCAAATACTAATGAATTAGCCTGTATATCGTTTTACCCAATATATTGTACTAGTTTTTTGTTGTTAAAAAAAGTTATAAAACGTCAATTTCAGTTTTGGAAATAATGTCTACTGGATAATTTTAATTACTGTAGCAACAAAATTTCTATTTATTTTAGTTGTAGTAAATGTTATTAAAAATGCAAGAGGCCTTATCAGACCATTTTTTAGAATATCAAGTTTTGGATTAGTCCTGATTCGAAAAGAGCAATAAAAAGAAAAAAAATGTGCAGACAGGAAACCTTGAAATACACAGATATCTCTTTTAAACGGTTTTACAAATCATTATTTAAATTAATTTTATCTTTTTTGTATATGAGTCCAATCTAGGAAGTTCAAAATAATACAATCGCCTGCAATTAACAATCACAGGTCGCAACGCACAAAAATTCATTGCTAATTGGATGCATCAAAATAATTTTTGCGCCGTGACGTTTTGACGCATCCACATACGGCGTATTAAATTTAATTATTAGATTTAATTAAAACTAAAATAATTAATTAATGACGGAAATACATGTTTTTATTGCTTAATTAGATAAATACATTTTTATGCTGTGGAAAAATTGCTAATATTATTTGGCTTATGATCCACTAAATGAGTCGGAAATGTCGTCCGGCATTTTGTTGTTTTCGTCTAAACTTTTGAGAATGCCGATGATGTCGTCTGCGAGAGCATACATTTCTTCCACCGTCTGAAAAATTACAAGTTACATATTATAACCGCTAAGGCAACGATTGCACGAATTAAATTGATGTTGTGGGGTGTCACATGAAGCGTACGATGGCAATCAAAAAGATGCGATAAATTAAAAAGTGGAAAAATGCGATTTCAATGTGCCTAACGAGTCGTTAAAATTTCAAATTGAATCTATAAATCAAACAACAGGTTGGACGTTAGTTCAAATCGATGCTGTGGAAGCGATACAATTCCGAAAAGTCATATAAATAACGCAAGATGTAATTGCGATGCTCTTAAATGAACGCCAATTACTATCGCCCACGCAACATCAAACGTGAATTAAAATTCTGTGGATGCGTGATCATCTAAATTATATATTATAAATATTGAAAAGTTTATATTTCGAAACGGTAGGCTACTCTACCGAAGCGCGTATGGATAGAATGTTTTTACGTTTATAATTTCTCCATACCAAAAAGTTCACTTTCTGAGTGAAAGGCTAATTCTCAATAAGTATAACTTTCTGTTTTGAACATTAGCTCTTATTCAATAATTTTGATAAAGTTCGTCGAATAACTATTAAACTGGGGTGGAAAGGGAACTAGTTTTAGTTATATTTATAGTGATGTCATGTGTAATCGGTGAAATTTTTTTAGTTACTTTGGAAACTTTAATTTCCGTGGCGAATCTTTAGTTACGAATCTTTAATCGATCTCACGATCTGCTCGCTGCACAGGGGATGTAGAAGTGATTAATCACTACTACTTACGATGTTGATGATTTTGTAATGGCTGTTCAGCCTTCGGTTCAAACTATTAATTTGGAAATGTTTGTTAATTTCGTTAATAGTTTTACGCTTTTTAGTGTATGTGTGTGTGTTTGTGTGTTACCATCGTCATATTCTCACAATGAAGAAATTCCACAGCATAAGCTAAAATTGGTGGCATAATGTTTAAAAATTTAAAGAGCTTGAATTTAGACGTCATGTTATAATTTGAAATCAACAGCCTGGTGCATTATTTAAATCAAACCGAAAACAAAGAACTGTGCGAATTACCCGCTGTGAGCTTTAACTAGAAAACTTTCCTAATTATATAGCTACTTCCTACCATATTTTGTTTTTAATATACAGACGGCTTAATTTTAAGTTTTCATTATTATATACAAAAAGTTTACTCGAAGAACCCCTCGCTTAAACGCTAGTGAAAAATTAATGGCTAAGTCGAAAAAATTTTCCTGGGATAACGTGGGAGAAGTACACATTTGAATCACTCCACATTTAAACGCTATCCGTATGCAAGGTTTGGCACTGAGCTGTTCGTTAGAAGTGTTCGTAATTACAAAAAAAAATGGATTCGTTTTCATTGTAGAACATTTTCATTTCTTTCATTTTCCGATTTCTGATAATATTTAGCTTCCTTCATATTTGCAACAGTTTTCTTGTAATATTTGTTTCATATTTGAATCACAACTTGATTTTCGTAATAAAATGAATAATGAACAAACAACACAATTAGATTGTTAAATTGCAAAAGAAATGTTAGGTTCTGAGTGAACTAACCAATGAAAAATGCAAAAAATGAAATCACGACAATAATTGTCCACCCCTTTGCAGTGGGTTTTGATTTAGATTAGTTTAGATAATGCTTATCTAGTTTGTACAGGCCTTGAGCACACTATATCTTTTATAACCTGATGAAAACCCAACGTTCAAGAGCAATGTTTCATTTAAAATGGAAAATCTCGACAATATTTAAAAATGAAAGAGCATATTAAGTAACTAACCACGAAAATTTATAACAATACTGTAGTGCACAATACTACTTCCCTAGCATCATATGATTTAGCCGGATATTTCGCCATTACTTTTCTATCCGAGAGAACAAATCATTACATTTAAAGGTTTTATGTACTGTCTTAAACATAATCGTATAATTTCATTTTATCTAATTTCATTTTTCACATTTATAGCCAGTTATTTTTTCACTAATATCGTAACTCATTGGGCATTATTCGGTTTAAACAATGTGCGCATATTTTGAATAGACCGTTTCCTCTTGCAGAAAGCAAAGTCAATCATAATCGCGGGTTATTATGTGACCCATAAAAATCATATGCAATTGACAGATGCTCTCGAAAATCGCTTTTTGTACAGTTAATCGTTTTCATTATCGCGGATTTCTCGACGTTCGAAATGAAAAGGAGTTTGATGCAAAAACCAGTCGATTTATGGAACTGTCGGAATGGAAGACTATTAAAATTTCAGCAGCATTTCCTCGACAAAAATGCGTATTGCTCTGTATTACAACTTTTCCTGACAAATTTGCTGGGTAGAAAATTGAAATAGAATTGATGTTGACTTCCAAAGTTAAAGGCTGTAGTAAATGTATTATAGCTGTAGATATTATATGGCTATAACATAATATAATGGCCGTAATTATCGTTCTAAACAGCGACCATTATACATTCTACTCGTTTTTTATTTTGAATAAAAAAATTGTCAACAAAAAATACTACACTATTCTGAAAACATTGGAATTGGCGAACTATCAGCGGCCATGTTGATTGTTGAACATCATATGGTTTTATTGGTAGAATGTCCCTTCTAAACATTTTCTGATGTTGGCCTCAAATGTGCCATTATTATGAGTGATATGCTGATATACCACAAGGCCCCATACATCAAATAGTTATAACAATGTTCCCAAAAATTAAGTATTCTTGATAATTCGGCGATGGCGCTATTGAATTTATTTTCCCAATGGGTACTTTGGGATGGTGCGATACCTCGAAAAAATAATCTGCATAATATTAGCAATTGATGTTATAGTTATAACTTATTATTTTAAACAAAAATTTATTCTTGAAACAATTTTAAATTCAAGTTTTTCAGATCAGATAGATTACCAACCATATCATTATCCACTATCTTCAACTATTCTCAGAATTCAATTGCAGATGTAATACTTACCTTAATCGATCAATTATAAAATAAAAATGGCACATATGACTTGAGAAATGTTATGGATGCGTTTTTTCATTTTTGTGTGTGTCTCATATAAAGTCTCCTATCCTTTTATTTCGAAAGGTTTACGAAAAAACTTAAATATAAAATTTAAGGGAATTTTACATTATGGGTATTATTCTCTTCCTGGTTAGTCTAAATTTGCAAATAACGAACAAAACAAATAAAACAAAACAATCCTTGCTTATATATTTAAAAATATGGAGTTTAATTAAATCTTAGTCAATAACACTTAATACATGTAACTGGATTTAGAACGAAATTATCTTGCTGCGGCTATATTGGGTGGAAAAAAAATATACAATTTTCTTGCATAAACTAACCGTGTGTAAATCTGGTGCCCAATAAAGGAGTAGACTATAATTTTGAAGTTTCGAATTTGTGAAATACAGATAATGATAAATACCGTAAAGAAAAATATTCAGGACAGTTTTTTATCGTCAGCAGAAAAGGCAAAAAACCTCTGTAGGCGTTTTTCCGATATTTCCCGAATGCTGTCCTTCCACTCTCTACACATTAAATTTTATATAACGTCATTACAGAAACACCGCACAAATAATATGATATGATAAAACATGAAACTTACCAAAATGGCTCCAAAAAAAAAATAATGGGAAGACATTTTATTATTAACATTACCTCACAGGAGAGAAGTTTTTTCACCAGGTTGTTCTCGTACTTCGCTTTGTCAAACTCCTCCATCGCCATCATATAACCTAACTGAAGATCCTCTTCTTCGCTGCTTTCTATATGTTTTTCTACCGGCTGGCATAATTTATCACCATCTTGACCGAAAACGTGGCCCATTTCTATCGACAACCCGGTCGGTGGATCCGGAGTATCGTCCCAATAGAGATACTTCGGAATTTTAATTTTATACATTTTTATCTGGAAAGCAGTAAAAGTTTAAGTTTTGCGGGTTGGATATATAATGTTGTCTTTCGTAATATACTGTCTGACATAGAAATTGCAAAACCCAGTAGTTGGAATGAATATTAATAACAATGGGTTATATATTCAAATAAACTTATTGAAAGGAATTCTTAAAGATTCAATAGTGAGTTGCGCCTCCTTGTAAGTTTCGACACTGTGTAACTCATCATGGCACACGGAGACAAGGCGGCCCACTCAAGCTTTTTATTATTTTTTGTGGCTTTTAATCAAGTCGATATATTTTTGAGTAACTTTGTTTTTTGTATTTTATAACATTTTCGAAAGCTCTGGCTCTAAGCTAAGCTAAAATCCAATATACGGTTATATAAGCTTGTCGTAGGAATTTTCTAGTAACTGTGGGGGTATATCGTCTGGCACGTGCTGAAGGTGCTTCCAACTCTTTTAGTACCCCAATTCATAACGCTCCAAGTAAGTGACGTTGGTGGCTCTTCCACAATGATGTTCCAGAACCGTACTTCGGTATTTCGTGCATACAAATGCTAAAACCTTGAGGATTTGTGTCGAGCTTCATCGGTGAGATTCCTCGATTATTGTCACATACTGTGGCATACGGTGTTTTAGTCATCTCGAGCGTTAATGTTACGGCTCCACTTTTGGTAGCAACCGGCAAATGAGTCCGAGTCTCTGATCCATTTGAATTTGGCGGATGTTCATCATCAACGATTATTATGTCATCGACCACAATCTCAACTGCTTCGTCGCTGGACATCGCACACTGAGTCTCGAAAAACAATGGAATAACTGTAAGTTGGTAATTATAATAATGAAAATAACTCCAAAGCTTCGACGGCTAACAAAGCATAATTATATAAACATAATTATATAAACAAAGAAAATTATGGTACACATGCTGAACAGAATGGTTCCTTCCGCCTTACACCTGGCGGGTCTTAAACTCATTCGGAAGACAAAACCATAAAAAGTATACCACCATCGTGAGCCAAACGTAAACGTGATTTGTCACGGACTGCGATCTTTTTCCCCACTCCTGATTCCAGGTATTCCAGACATAGTTAGTTGTTTATGTCTATTGGTTAATAGCAATACATAGACATACCATCCTACCTCGTTAAACTAATTTGTGCTAACTTACTTTTTTGTGCACATGAAAAAAACAAAACAAAAATGTTGTCCCCCATTTCATGCAGGAACTTAACCGATAAAACAGTCTAAATATTGCTAATCATATACTGGGTTTTGCAATTTCTATGGCACACAGTGTATTATTAACCTTGGCTCTCCGTTCCGCAATCAGTCTGTTGCAATAGTTTTCAATAAGCATTATGGGGTGGCGAGCCATTTCAGGCGGTGCTTGATCCAGTGGAATTTTCCCAATTAACACCAGATTTTTCACTCTTTCCATTTCTTCTTCCTAAATAATAACGAAACATAATATGAGCTAAGAAATAGCTTTTCGAATCATTATGACGTTAACAAATTAAACATTTATTAATTCTACCTAAGAAATATAAAATTTAATTTAATTTAATTTAAACTATAAAATTCTTTCATTGGTTCGGGATTGAGGATTTTAATGCACTCCGATGTCTCTTTAAAAAAAAATATTAGTTTTGGCAGAACGTCAGTGTTCTTTTTTTGTTGTATTGTATTGTATAAGTTGTGGTGTATCGATTTTCTTGCACAGGATCAACTTGTCAATTTCATTTTAATCGAAACAAATGGAAATTGATTAATTAATTTTTTGTGTTCGTAAACATATAAATAACATTTTAAGGAATACCAAACATAGAAGGACTTAAACCAACTCATTTAAAAAATAGATGCCTAGAGTTTTTGAGTATTTTTAAAGGTTTTATTGATTTTTCAGTGAACATATTTTTTTAAATATGAAAATCCAAAAATGAACAATGTACTGAGTTTTTGGCTTCTGTATATACACAAAATACATAAAGTTTTGATTAAGTGCATCTAATAATAATATGTTGAAATATTGAGTTGGTTCAACAATGATTTCTTGGATAGTGATCAGAAATCGGTGAGTTGTTTAGATAAATCACAGCCCACTAAAAATAAAAATGATTTCCCACGGAAAATTACTTCGATAGGTTATATAAAAATCTAAATTTGCAGGTATGTATAAACTATTTATAATTTAAAAATGCATATCTTTGATAAAATACGAATAACTTAATTTTATGTGATCGGTTGAAATTGGCCAGAAACTGCAGTGCCTTGTTTATTTATCACCATGTAAAATTGGCCTTTGTTTATAAAAACCCCTGTTTTTGTTTTTTCAATCCTTTTAAAGAGATTTCTTTCGACATAAAATACATTTGAAAGAATGTACAATTAGTTCCAGTCAGATATCCTGTTGAGTATAGGTATTTGAGGTTTGTGTTAATTCTATCTATTTGAATCTTTATTATGATGACGTATTGTAAAATTAAAACTGATAATATTAGGAAAACTTTCAGACAGAAATATGTCCATTTCAATTATTTACTTAGATCAATTATCTTCGGAACATGAAATACCCGCCTTGCTTTGTTCTCGATGTTTACTGCATATTAACATTGACAGAAAAATTTTATCTCGCAATATAATTTATTGTTTAATGCGAAAAGAAAATGTCTGAAGGACAAAGTGGCACGTGGAGCTTTTAACCCACTTAGATAAGCCTTAAATTCTCTTTTGCTTTCTTATTCTTGTTTTGAATCTTCGTCTGATTGGATTCAAATCTGATTTTTTTGTAACGTATAAATTATATTACTCGGAAAGTCCCTTATTCGAGTTTAAAATAGCTTTGAGATGTTTTTAAATGGAAATTCATGTTATTATCTTTTGGGTCTGTCGGGTGATCAGATATTTCTGGGAAATCCGAATTTATAAAACCAAAACACGTTATGCATTCGAAAATCTTTAGCTATAGGTATTTCCATATCTTTTTATTCATTTCCGTAGGAAAATTTTACAGGTTTTACAGGTTACCTCTTTTGGAGAGAGAAAATTGGTGTTTTTTAAATTTATTTAATCTCATTTATTGCGAGAGAATATATTTTAAACCAATAATTAACTAGAAATTTTTGGTACTAACACTTACAAAAAAATGTTAATGTTTGAGTGACAAATATGCGCTTATTAACTTGCTTACTTCCGAAAACTTTATTATTGTCACCCTTGCTTGGTGTAACTTTTGAAAAAAAAATCATTAAAAAAATAAAAACAGGTATCGGGACACGTGGGGTGGAAAGCCATCTTAAACATTCTTTTGCCAATATTGTTAAAAATTTGGCAATTTTATTTGTAATAGCATTAGTAGCTCATTTAATCCTAAGATGATTAGAATGGTGTTTCTCAAAATTATTCCAAATATGAAATCTACGTTGCTGAGTATTTTTGGGGGCTAATTTTTTTATATCAGGGAACTAACAATAATTTTTTTATGTGTTTTGAAAACTGAAGTGTGCGAGTGTTATTTTTTGTACAATGCTTTATTTGTGGAGTATAATTAGATTTTAAATTTTACGTATTTATGAAATTTTTGATAATTTGTTTATATTTAGTAAATTTGCATATATTTAGTGTCATATATATTTTCTATTAGAGCTAATATATAATACCTAATTAATAAACATAATATAATATTTAATATTTATACTTTTAGAACACTTCAAAATTGTAAATTAAAAGGCACCTATAAAATTCATTGAAAAAAGTGGTCACTCTGCATATAACTGTATAGAATATTCTATAAAACACAACTTATTTGGAAACTATTGGTGTGCCTCTGAGGTCTACTCTGCAGTGGGGAACCCATGCACAAGACTAGGATTGCATTTTGTTGTTACGGGAAACAATTGAAACATATTACCTCTCTGACTTTTATCCGTTTGTCCATCGAGTCCTCGTAGTCTTCAAGGATACGCTGCTGAAGCCGCTGCATATATACACGGTCCGTCAGATTGACATAGTTAGTACCCATTAACTTCTCGAGCCGTGATCTCACTTGAGGAATATTGAAGCTGAAAAATAGAGATAACGATAACGAATAAAGCCGGAGAAAGTGGAATAACATGTGCGTCGTTAAAGGTCCCGCCAAGTTTTTCAAGTCAAGCCACGAGAAAAGAGATCGGCCGAGTAACTCGAAAATATTTTCCGGTTGCATGTGGGTGAGCGCCAAGTGGTTCACACGAGATGCGTGTTCAACACAATATTGTCGTATTATTCGGGAAACGATGGAGTTTTCCTTTGCTGACAGTCATTATAATTTTAGATATCGTTATTGGAAAAATGCTCGGTGAACCCAATTTTTGTTGAAGTTTTCCTGAATATGCCCAGGCAGTAATTCAAATAAATTTTGAACATAAATTGTGGAAAGTTTTGTTTAGTCGAAAATTCTGTATTAC